AGTTGTCTGGTGTCTGCTGGTAATTCTACCCTTGTTTCCTCTGTCACTTCTCCAACTCTTCCATTGTACAGTCTCCGCCAGCTGAACATGGTCCACGCAGTCATTGCCTTGTCCCCGTACTGCGCCGTCGTGATCGATTTTGACGTATTATGGGTGTTTCTATTGAAATGTAAGTCAGACAAATTATTTGAATTTTTTTTTGTGTGGTATTGTTATAAAATGGTAATTTATTAACTAACAGTGCTCCTTCGGTAGTATCCGTTCAGTCGCAAAGCCGCTAGGTAACTGCTGCTGCAAAGGTCTTTAAAGGGTACTTGCAAATCTGGTCACACATTTCCGCTGTGTTGAAAACGTGATCACAATTCTGTGTATAGCAATAAGTACAGAGTCAACGGTGTGACAGCATCTTTTGTATGCAGGCTCTGGCTTGCGTTTGACAACCTTGGCTACATATAGCCTGGTGGCCGTTATAAACAACACACTCCACCTACAACACCATGTACGTAGGTACACCGTTCTTTTAATAAGTGGATATTTGTGGGTTATTGATTTTGCTCGCTATAAATATAAATATTTATATACAGACATTCAGTATTAACCGAATACATGAACTGCTTAGTCAGTGTTTTCTGAGTTTTCGCAATTTAGTTCTAAAATGATACAGAATTTGTTTTGTTAGGATATCTATTCGTATTTGAAATGTAGGACTAACTGCTAAATTTTTTTTTGCGAAATATGGACACGTCAAATGTCATTTGCTATCCTACCTATCTGAGATTACTTTTGGATTTGCCCACAATTTTATATTATATATTCCAATATTTAAATAATATTATTGGTAGAAATATGTCGCGGACAATGCTGCATTCTAAACAGGGGCTCCATTTTTTGCCTATTTGATCTGGAAACGTAAAATAATGACAATATATTAAATTATTTTTATTACACTTTCATAGTAATTGTATGCTTTGCGCATGGAAGTTGGGTCATTTATGTTAAATAGGTAGAAGCTGATGTACATCATATGTATATGTACAATCGAATTACACCATTGTTGTTAGAGTTAGCGGTGTGTGATGATTGCACGTTTCAGTTAACATGAAATCAATGGATACTAATATACCCATTGTAGCAATATTCAACAACAGTCAATAGTCAATTAATAAGCTAAATAATAAATTTTATTGAATTGTTTTGGTTTTCCTTAATTCACGCAGTAGGTGAAAACAATACTTGTACATATTGTTATCTAATGACTTCTAAAAGGCCGGTTCCTTAATATACTGGTAATTTTTGTGTATCTATATGAAGTGATACAATAAAAACTTAACAGATCCTATGATTCTTTTTGCAATATTAGAATGGAAATTTATAATTAGTAATTTTTTTTTATTATCGAAAACCCACCGCATATAAATATATGATTATATTGTAAGTATAATGCAATTGTATCTACATAAATAGTGTATCTCTGATTAAAAATAAATTATTACGTGAAGAAAATAAAAACTTGTTTGGTACGATCAGTATGCGAGTTTAAATCCTACTTCACTATAAATCGGATTTGTTAATAGAAGTATTGTTTGTTAGGATTCATGCAAACAATAATAATAAAAGCACACTTAGGAGTTAATGGTCTAATTATATAAAGTATACAATAATAAGTACTTGTGTAAACTCATAATATTGTGTTTACACAAATAATCATATATATGACACGCAAATAATAAGCACTCACTACCTATCTAATTACAATACCACGAGAACTTCCAAGTGAACGTGACAATGTTTTAAAAACTGTGTGTCAAATTTCACAAGATTTTGCAGTGACAATAATAATGTACCTATTTGACATGACAATAATATATTTTATTTAGGAATAATTTGTAGGAATCACAACAAATTAGATAGTATTTAAGTATATCACCTGCAAATAATACGTTTATCTAACAATGTTCTATTATGTAGGTCAGTGTTCAGACTTCAGTGGTAGTCTATGGAACTGGTATTTTTTTGTTTATATTACGAAAGGAATGATTAAGAAAAAGTTAAACCAAGCCTACCTAGACTTATCAATAGCACACAGGCACATAAAATAGGTTTTGTATAAGTAACAGTACTTTAAACGGATGAGATGAACAATTTGGCGGAAATCGTGGCAGAATAGACAGTAACAATGGCGTCGATTTTACGGTTGTTGATGGTGGAACAATGTCACTGTCCTCTGGCATACACCTCTTTGTTTACTGTTCTACATAAATCAAACGTGTCGTTCAGTTAATTGTAATATCTATGAAGTTTATAAAAAATACATATTCAATGCACTGATTGGTCGCATTATATTTCCTTTGCTGTCCACTGTTGGAAAACAGTTACTATATTCTGTATTAGACCCGGAATTTTAATATAATAATTAAAATATTTTGATAATTATTCTAGAGGCTCCACAACTACGTTTATAACAATTCCTTAACTCAGCCTACACGTATAGTATGCAGGTTCCAACTATCCGCATCGAGTAGTCTAGGAGCTAGCTGTAGGAAGTTTATATTCTTATCCTTTCAAATATTACCATATGTATATCCTAAATGATATCCATTCCAGGCCTTATTTTTTATTTCAAAATAACTATAGCGTATTTAGTAATTTAAACGAAAGCTTATAACTATTATTATGCATAAAAAATAAATTCAGAGTTTGAATTTATTTTCTAACCATTAAGAAAGTATCTCAATGTTTTTATTATAGGCGTAATTTAGAAATTTTGTGGCTTTAAATATAAACCGAGGAAGTTGTGAAGCAAAAAGTATGCGGTAAGGTGGTGTGGTGATGTACACTTTGTAACGAGTGCGTAGGTGTGGGCGGCGTGTGTAGGCGATCTCCCACTAGACAAATGATTTTGTTAATAGTTACTTTCAATATATTCATTATCCCTATTCCCAAAATCCACCTTATTGGAATTATCGATATAAAATAAATTACAGTGATTGATAAGTATTAAATTTATCTGTTCTTCTTAAGTTCATCCCATTAAACTCTAGTAAAGACAAGAGGCCAGCAGAGCAATGTGTTTTGAAAAATAATGAAAAATATAATATCCAGCTATACATAGCTGTAGAGTAATGGAAAATGCGATTCGGTTTTAATACATTTTAGTAAAATTTATGTACTTATGATGATTCCAAAAAATAAATAACTATTTATTCAAATCATTTCATATAGTCGAAGGCTATTAGATCAATGTATGACTGTTAAATGTGATGCAATGAAGCTGACGGCCCATCTGATGTTAAACGTTAACCGTCGTCTATACATAAGTCCCAATACGGATCACGTCATCATGTGACACCTGTGATACCAATCATGTGTTTCCAGTTCAGACTAAGATGTCATGTCTCTTAGCCTGTAATATCACTGGCTAGTCTAGTCTAGTTTCGGTTGTAGGGGAACAACCGAAACACAGCTTAATGCAAGGAAAGTTATATTGTTCAAAGAAAAAGTCAAAAGCATTTATTCATATGTAGGATATTTAGCTACTTATCCACGTCAAATTATTATTTTAATAACGCTAGAGCTGGCTGTTTCAGTTGATAAGAACTGGCAAAAAATTTAACTGATTTCTACTTCATAGATAGTTCCGATTCCAATACAAACTGATATTTGCACTCTAAATGAGTTGAGATTAGTATGTGGTTGATTCAAACTAAAATCTTAGGATTCATAAGATTTTAGTATTAAATATACATACGAGTATATGTATATATATTCAGATCATATCAGTTCAGACCTGTATGATGTAAACCTGTCTTCTATTCTAGTTACTATTTTATTTATAGATATATCTATCTTTATTAAGTTCCACTGTGTTCTGTACGTAAATTATCGCTTCCTTTTGCTATTCATTTCAAAGGCATTGATATTCGTACGTGTAAAATATTGGCCTAAGCTCCAAGGTACGAGTATTATCAAACAATATTATTATGAATAATTGATAAGGCCTGATTTATAGTAAACGATAATAGAGTTAAAATATATTTGTATACAAATTCTTTGTTGTATGCGTTATTGCATTAGCTAATTCATTTAACATCTGATAATGACTTACTAAAATATTTTTAAATCACCCTTCTTTACAACATCAATAATTTTTAAAATATACATTGACTCACATGATGAGTCAAACTGGACTTCATTACGGTTTTCTCATCTACATTATCTAATCTTATTACATTCCAGCATAAAAATCTATCCTTTATGAACTAAGTTAACAGTCCTAATTGATAATAATGTTTGTTTATATTTCGATCCGTTCCAATTTATCTTGAACCAGTGTATACATAGTTTAATTAGTATTATTAATAATGATTGACATCTAAATAAATATAGGTTTTCATTGTCCCAGTCTGCAAATGAAGCATATGGCGTTTACACCTGCGTCCGCAACTCCGCACGTCTTGCTCGCGCGTGCTATTCCAGATGTGGCGCAAACTGAGAAATTTAACCGACATCCTATTATATTACATTATGAAATAATAAAATAAATCCTTTTCGAACCTTTACCAACCATTAATTAGTTCAAAATTATCTATAATTACAAATTATGAATGATCTTGGATAGTTTTCTGATACGTCCATATGCATATTTATATCTACTTACAATACTTACTTATAAGTACTAGGTACCTACTATTACAAATACATTTGTATCATAATGTATCTTTGTTGTTACTTCATTTTTAATATTTTACATCGGATCGGATACAATTTGGGTATCTTTGAAAACTTCTCGATACCAATATCTTTGGTAAGATTTGCACGTTTCAAGTTTTGAGAACAGGTTTATGGCATTATTGAGTTTAGATTAAATAGCTATATGGATTCTACTGGTGATCTCACCGATCGTCAATCTTGACAATGCAAAGGACCGGTCGCCGCGGGGTGAGGCATGGACAGAGACGGGACGGGGACTCCACGCCACACTGCAGGGTTTTGTGCGATTCACACCGCATGCCGTACGGGCCGGGCCAGGCCACTCAGTCAGTACGACAGTTGAACGCACGAAGCGCGACGCGTGCGCTCATCCCGTGTACATACATACACAAACTACATTCTTTAAATTGATTCTAGTCAAAATGTAGTTTCGTATATTTATTGTTAATGGAAATATTACACAGTGAAAGTGAAATTTTGTGATATTTTGATAAATTTTGTAACTCTTACGCGCTACGGTCCAAAGAACAATGCTGTGGGAAAAAATAACGTACAGCTGGCATCGGCACTCGTTCCCAGCTACCTACCTAACCTCTCTCCCCCCTCGAGCCGGGTGCCGGGTTCAATGCGCCTCTCTGCGTTTATTCATCGTTTGTGGGAAAAGTTGACCCCCGTTTTAAAAATATTGTTAACGAATTCACACGATTTGTGTTACAGTGACTACTGTATCTTTGATGAGCAATTTTATGTGAGAAGTTGAAAGTTTTACGAGAGAATAATTATGTCTGAATTTTTAAACAATATAGGTACTTAATTTTTATAATTATTTCAAATGTATTTGATGGAGATTATGCGGCACCTAATTATGTGATACAGAAGTATCTACTGATAAATTTGTTTTTACGCGCAAGATTTCAAGGTTGCTTGCAGCATTCCGGAGAACTATATTATTTGCTGTGAGTTTTGTAATGTTTGTCGAGTTTCAACATCGTCAAAATTTTAATATAATTGTACCTACTAGAAATAATGTTCTTATATCAGAAGAGGACATGAAGACAATACTGTAATACCGATTAGGCAACACGTTTTGTGCTGATGAATCAAGTTATGAAATAGACGTTAGAATCAAAAGTCTACCAATGGCATAGTGACATACAGTGAATGTTGCATGATGACGTGTAATCAAAGTGATTAAATTATTAATTGTGAATGAAGTGCCTTAATTATTATTAGTGAATGAAGTGGTTGTCTTGAAGGCAGTTCCGAGATTCAGGTTACAGGATGGGTAACCAAGGATCATCACCTCACGAGCCGCTGGATCGAGCGCAAGCGGCTCCGAACCCCGACCTCAAAATGGTTCGAAGCTCTTTAAAATTATTTCTTTAATATCATCATATTTACTTCATCCATGATTTGGGGTGGACGCAGTATGTCATCGTCCTCCACTTTATATATACCATTCACACAATTTATCTTTTATTCGGCCGTCCTGTAGTTAGGTGCTATTTATTTAATGTCTATTTAAAATTCATAATTTGATACATTGAGTCAGTGTCTCAGTAGGCAAGTTAGGTACCTATTGTAAGTCGGTAATGTCCGTCCGTACACATAGGTAGGTATGTCGACTAGAATTACAAGCAGTAAGGCTTCGTTTATATTGTCGTATTTGCAGTGCACTGTGAAGTTTAGTAGTTGCAAAAAAGCGCTCATACGTACTACTCGAGTTGTTCACTCAAATCTAACAATTTTCAAAATTAAGAAAAATCTTAAAAAGTAGTTTTGTAACGACTTGGACGTTAACCATGCAATAAGATTTTAATTAAACAACAAGATATCTATGAAAAGTATGAGTTTGATACCAACTAACATGTAGGTATTCTGTATACGACTAAGAGTTAAGTCACCAGTCACAACAAGAATATCCATTAAGTAATCATCTATACACCTGTACATATAAATAAAATTGGAGTGTCTGTTTGTAACATTGAAATAACCGTCTTTTACTATATGCATATGAATATAAATACGAGACATACACCAAAATAGCATTTTTTCAATTTTTATCTTCTGTTTGTTCCGGCTAATCTCTGAAATGGATGGACCGATTTTGACGGGAATTTTTTAATCAGGCAGGTAATGTAACTGTAATGTAATAAGATTAAGTAATTTAGGATACTTTTATGTTAGAATAAAATAAAGTTAAATTCCACGCAGACGAAGTCGCGGGAATAGCTAACACATAAATATAACAAAGTTACGTAGTGAACTTTCGTTGCTTTGTTTTCGGAAACTACCATACCTACCTGCTTATGCACGATTTTGGGCAAATCAACTATACAGTTTTGCCTTTAAAATCCATTTTCCATTATTTATTTGTTGTAGAGATTACTTTAGATATTTGGGTAATATAGAACGGGATGCTTATCTAAATTACAAAAAAGACTATTGAGAAGAAAGTAGTGAATCTGATAATATAGTATCTATCTTTTTTTTTTATGTTTTAAAGTAATATCTGTCGGTTTAAACTAATTCGTTTGTGGTGACATCCTTGGCCTATGTCTTATTATTGTCACCTGTATGTGGATTCCTAGGTTTTTTATTAATACTTTTTGATAATATCTATCTGTGTATTAAGTAAGTATAATTTATAGGTTTACAAAATACAGTACTCTTGTTTTGGATCACTAACTTATATAACTACAATACAAACGCGTCAACTTACTTTACTGCATTTCAATTTCGATAATGTAATCGCGGCTTTAGAGTTTATTGTTCTTAACGTTTTCTAAGAACTAGTTACCTGCTGAGGTAGTAATAAATTAAAAGGTAGGCATACCATCAAAACATTTATTTATATTCAAGTAATGAGCCATACATTAATTGTTTTCGATGAATTTGAGTGTAAAATAAATTACATCACCTATGTAAGCTAAGTACTTTTAGATTCAAAGTCATTGAATAGAATAAATGTGCGACACATTAATTATTTATTGGATGTAAATAAATTATATATCCGTCAAAGTACGGGTATACTACATTATGTATGAAACGTATAATATATATAGGTACTACTACTACCTACTATTTATTGTCATTGTTAAGAAGGTGTGGTTTTGTTAATATGCGTTTTACCTGTAATGTGAGCCGGTTCAGTTTAGATTGTAACAAGTTTATTATACATCGTATAACTATCTGTATAATATATTTATTTAAGTTATTTTAGCGCTAAGGCACTTCTACACTAAACTCAATACTGCTTAATATACAATACTGCAATCCAAATCAATAAATACTCCGACACTAAAAGGTTACGATACCAAAAACTTCCATTGTCTTGGTTTATTCATTTAAGTAATGTTTTGTTACGCACATTAACAAACTTGATACGCCAATTTCGATCAAATTTATCATAAACCCTTAAATTAATTCGTTACTAACATCTACGGCTTTTCCCTTTTCATTCTTAAAAGAATTTACTTTGTCTCAAGGTATTCTTTATTATTTTTTAGTCGTGTGAAGGACGGTACGTGTTCCGCGGCTTTACTGCTAGAGTTTTCTGTGATTCACTTATATAGGTATCTACACCTAATCTTACCTATTTCTACAATGTAGTGAAAATCTGTGTATTTCGATCTGAAGGTAAAGTAACCATAACCTCTGATATAACAATTATATGATGTAGACTATACAGAGTTTATTTAGATTTACAGTTTCCTTTGAATTAACAATGTTGATGTGGATGCAAGAGTTTATTATTAGTGCGCATTTAGGTAGCTTAGGTTACATTTATACTAGTAGCCAGCATTATTGAAACGATGGGTGTGGCTGAAAGAACCCGCTGTGATCTTTTCCTTTCCCAGTCTGTAGATGTTGCTATGTGTCATTCATTTGATAGTGTAATCCTATATTTGATGTTCTAGTAATGTTAAACCCAATGTTTCACTTTAGGTATTGTTTGATCAATATTGGTGTAACTCCTGACAGGTTTCTTAGCTTTAAAAAGCGTAAGTTAGATAAGATTTTTTATAATAGCTCGATATGTGACTGAATAGTAAATAATACGGATTAGATGTATCATGTCATCCGTTTATAAGATGGTTTCATGAATTAAGTTACTTCTGGAGAGTATTTTCCGTTCTCTGTCCCTGTATTATATTGAAAATCATTGGGAGCATAAAAGGTTCATTGGTTCTAATTAATTACATGTAATACTGAAATAACAACACAGACATGTTATGTTGCATAAACGTGTCTGTGTTACGCTTTGTAGAAGGGCATGGGAAACAAGCGATTAAGACGTGACAAGGTCTCAAAAACCTGACAGTTGCTTTCATACGTTTTAAAAGTTTATCGCCGGCATTGTACTTATGTTATAGCTTCATTATACTTTTCCTTAATTAAAACAAAATTAGCACTGTTTCGCAGATATACTGTACTGCAGGAATAAATAAACCTAATCCTGTGAGGTGAAGTGAAGGTAATAGTTACAAGACTTATTGTTAGTGATTGGACTGTAAGATCCATTGGCACTATTGTAGCGATTATTAGTTTTTATACATATAAATAATTCAGGAGTAGCTCGAATAAAATTTTTAGATATATGAAAAACATTTATAAATACCACCGAACAACAATTTATTTTAGAACATTAGATAAACTGCGCGTGTGAAAAAACAAGTTTTTATAGTAAATATTTTCAAGCCAACAATCCGCGTCTAATTACCATAGGTACTTCTAATCCTCCTAACACCCTGACAGATGGACCGGCCTATCATTAGTACTTGGCATGTAAATGATTTGGGCCACTTGTGCACGCGACCAAATTGTAACAAATCCTTTTGTTGTAATTGAGTTGTTACTGTCTCGTACGAATCCCTCACACGTTTTATACATATGGTCATACGAATGAACAGTTGTGGGTTCTATAGTACGTAAGTGGTATTATTATAATTATATTTTTGGATTTTGTCTCACAACGTTGTGCTTTATTAATGTGAATTTGATATAATTTTTTTTTGATCCATTTTCAAAATACACCCGATTAGATAATCATTTTTTCACATACTCAGTCTCTGTGTCTTTGTTTGGCTGTAGAGGAAACCTATATTTCTGTGTATTATTTTAACGTCTGAATGCACAATCGCAAGGTGAGGTAGTGTATTAAACCGTTATACCACCAAGGTTGTTCACAATTATTTAATTTTACATTTTAAGTAAAAATTGACCAAGTCGCATTGTCTTCTGTATTTTATTTAATTCATCATTCATTCTTCTATTCATATATCAAAACAAAATCTAGTAATCAAAAGTGTATAAAGTGTAAATAAAAAGTTAGAAATAATAATATATGAATATGCTTACCTTCATATGCTGCATACAATTTGTATGTGTTCTAGAAAATATCATGTTTTGTGTTACCTCCTTCAACTAATCTAATAAGGAGGTAACTATTTTTTGCCATAAGCTCGTAAACATTATACTGTATTCCCATGATTTTTTGTCAGTAACATTATTCACTAATAACGAGTGAATAAACATGTAACAGAGGTGAATTAAAGTGTGTAGACTTATGAATAATATTGGCATTTTGCGCCCGAGTTCACTTACGATATATGCTATCGTGATATTATATGGTGGAAGATGAGAGAATACTCATCCCGTGAAGTCAGGTTAGTTAGTCCATCGTTGAACTCATGTTCTGTTGCATCCACGTCATTTATTTAAATTCTTTGACTTAATCGTTTAAGGTTGGATATTATCGATGATAACTATTAATTTTTAAGACGTTTAGTTTCTTGGTCCTTGATACCCAATAAAAGTGCCTAAGTCAGATATGGTTTTGATTGTTTTCTAAAACCAATTTATTTCAATTTGGATGCGTTTGATTGCCTCGATTACCAATTAGACGACAACTATTGTTCAATTTTGATAATGTAGTCTGAAGGTTATCAGAAAACTTAAATGTTTTGTACGTCATCATCATTCTTCGGGGTTTTCCCCGTTATTGCGATCTGCATATAATGTTTCACCTTCAATGTTTTCACCCTCCAATATATTAGATATTCATCTTAAAAATCTTTTACTGTTACGTAAATTAGTAAATTAGCTGATAGTGAATGGGAAGTAGTAAACGTTATAGATGACCAGCACCACGGACATCACGTTTGGTTCAGCCGTGGTGTACCCCTAAAGCTTTCCTGAACTCAAGTGTTCTTATATATACTTAACCTTATAATTTACTTTTCTTGTTATCTAACCTTATAATTATACTGTTATTCATTCCACACAGAAGTGAGCCAGAATTTCGTACAACTTTCTTGGTTTCCATTAATTTCACGATTTGCCATTCTTATAAAAAAATGTTGTTCACGACACAAGTATTATTTGCTAATTTCCTTCCCACGTGTATTTTCTTCTTTACTTTCACGTAGGGTAGCATTGGAGACATTCCTACCAGAGTATACACATACAACACGATTGTTAGATTTTTTAAATAATTATTTATTTAAAATTTAGATGGTTCCTAGATTTTGCAAGGTGACAAAAGTGTCATGGGGTTTGAAAATTAATCTACAATATATTGAAATTTTTAATTTAAACCCTATAAAATTTTATACTTAATTATAATAGATTAATGACAGAAAATGTGATTTTGAAAATCTTAATTATAATAGATAATTATAAATAATGTTAATAAAAATTCTTTAACAACTGTAAAATACAGCATAAACGTCAGCTCATTAATCAATGTCTAATAACATGAAAAAAAACTTAACTTTGTGTAATTCAACACAAATATAAAGGAAGAATATAACGGTCTATCATTCAAAATTAGTAGTAGTTTTTTTATATTATATTATATACGCTGCTTTTATCTTTTTATGGATTATGCAGAGGTTTTCCACACGAGCATCGAACTCAAAAAAAAATGGAATGTCTCTGGAGCCAGAAATTCGGTTACGCGTCTAACATTCATAGTTTTTTTTTTTTCAATAGTTACAGTAGCAGTCATTCATATTTGACTTAATGTAAATATCACCCGTAGGTATAAACGGGACGTAAGGGGACAGTAGACGCCAATCACGATTTCATTATAATGGTATTTATTATTTTCAGTTAAAGCTATTTTTTTAAAACTATACTTAATATATAAATCACTATTGATAAATTTTGTATTACTTTCCAGCACTAAATAATATTATAACTGTATATTTCTGCGACTATCACATACCAAATGTTCATATAAACGTGCCTAGCATTTAATCTTATCAGTTTCTCATATCTTATACTCAATTACAGATGCATATGTGTCTCATACATTTTGACAGGTAGTAGCAATGTGGCGGCTAAAATAAATAAAGTGTTGATTCCGTTGAGTGTATTCATAAATGGTTTTTTTCTTACTTAGATAATAATAATGAAATATTTAATTATATATTAAATGTAAAATACACACGTAAATGTGTTTATATTGGATTATCGAAAATCGTAAGTCACTACCAACCATAATTGCATTGAATTTGCCCACATAGCAACGACACTTTAATATTGGCAACTAATATTACATAAAATTAGCTTACACCACATTTTACACATTTAATATCTATAAATAACATTTAAATTTAACCATTATTTTATTTAATGTAAGCTAAATTTATAATTGATACATTGACACTTGGCTTGTATTTTTCCTATTTAAAAATATGTACTTCAAGGGTTACTGATTTGCTTATCAGATAGTATGACTGATAATGTTTATTGAAATCGTTTACCACCTTCGCAGAAAAGTAAATAATAAGTAGGTACATCTCATACAATCAAAATATAAATAATGAGCTTGTCACATAACATATCATTTAAGTATAGCATTCAGATGGGGCATGCGAAAACAAGAGTAAATTTTCCTTCTGTACCTGAAGTAAATTCTGATTACATATGAAAGATATATTACAATAGGAACACAATTTTAATATTGTTATCTTAATAATGGCAGAAATTATTTGGTGCTCCTAATGTTGACTATATTAAACCTTCTGTCATATGCTTAGCTGATTTTAATAATAGTAATGAAAAATTGTAATTACCTTCAAGAAGATTTATTCCAACGAAACGTAATTGAATGGAAAAGAAATAGAACTTAGAAAGCGACGATATCGTTTTACCCTTTTGTTATATACTACAAGCTGATCGAAACTGCGGCGTTTAAACAGAAATTGTATAACAGATATAAAACTCATTGCAATTATTTTTTTGTAAACAAATAGAGAAAAGTAGATACTAATTATAACCAGACATTTAGAAGTTACGGCCAACAGCTAGAGTGAAGTGACGTCCATTGAAACCAATCTAAACAATTACTACCTTACCTTCACAGAAGTCGTCAGTTCGAAGTTCTCTGAGAAGGGCGCGCGCGGGCGCAGCACTGTCGCCTCCGCGCGCCGGCATGGAGAGGCTGCGTCGGTCGTTTCGCGAGTCGTTCCGCCGGCGCAAAGGATCGCCGCCGGAGTCTGCGCGCCCGCATCAGTGGCACGCAGACGAGGCGGCGGTCCGCGCCGGTACCTGCACCTTCCCCGTGAAATACCTCGGCTGCGTCGAGGTGTTCGAGTCGCGGGGTATGCAGGTCTGCGAAGAGGCGCTTAAAGTGCTTAGGGTAAATATTAATACATACCTGTTAATTTATTTACTTAGAGTAGCTCCCAGCGCTAGTCGTAAAATCAGCTAAAAAGTATGCATATCTATATATATACCTAGGATATGATCTATTTGTGTACCATTTTTATTCGAATCATCAGTTTTTTAAGTTAAAGTGTATGAAACATACATACCATCTCACTTTCACTTTTATAATATTAATTTTACAGTCGTATCAGAGAGATACCAATTACAGCTTTTCTCGATGATCATCAGCTAATTCACCATTCCGAGTCTTGAAGAGTTTGAGTTTGATGTGAGTACATCGACTTGTATTCGAAATCATTTCGAATACAAGTCAATGTACTCACATCATAGAGTGACTCATTTCTTGAGATAGTTACTAATTGCACAAGAGTAAAAGTTATAGTTGAGTCATTCTCTCTACTAGGAAATAACTTGTAAGTTTTCTAAATAAATATGTGAGATGTGTAAGTCTGGATTTTATTTGTTCTTACATATAATAAACATTACATTAGTAACAATGAGATAGATATATACTGCTTTAGGACTAGATGTTACAATAATTTGCTGACCAAGCAAACCTACTTTTACCGATTACTTGTTTTTATTATCAAAATAAAAATATCAAGTCTTGATTCAGTCCAGTAAAAAGTACAATGTTGTGCGACTTTTTAGTTAATGTACTAAATTTTATAAAAATTGATTAAGTAGTTTCAGAATTTACAATTTACCCGTACAAACATCGTTACATATTTTATATTTATGTAATGAACATTACAGAACTCCCGTCGACGTCCGGTGCGCACTGTACTGCACGTAAGTGGGGACGGTCTACGAGTAGTTGAAGAGGAAACCAAGGGGCTCATTGTGGATCAGACTATAGAGAAAGTATCATTTTGTGCTCCGGACAGAAATCATGAAAGGGGTTTTAGGTACGTGTGTTAATTAATGTTTTTGTTTACAAACACTACTAGTACTGTCGTTAAAAATATTTACAATTGACAAATTAATGTGAAATGACAATCTGATAAAGGTATTTTAAGAATTCCATTATATAGAAATCCTAAATGCTAAAGGCGTGCTTACACAGACTACGAGTTACTGTCCCACTAATGTCACGTGATTTGTAACTTCATACATTACTTTTTCCAAACTGTGGCTACAACATGATAGCAATAATTCAAATTAAAACAAGAAAACATTGAGGGAAAGTGATTGTTAATGGGATATTCCCATTGCTCTTAATGTGCCATGTCATAGATAATTCTTGGTGAATTTGCCACGATGAGTTCACTGGCCTGATTTCGTCCAAATCATATCTTTCACTGGTGCCCCACCAGTGTTCATTGATATCGTCGTCCATCTATTAAAAATATTAAGTAAATCAGGTTTTGTAGTGGAATAAATTCAAAATATATCTTTGACACTACATATATAATAGTATTGTTCATACTTCTGATTTGAAATTGTCGTGACATAAATCGGTATGGTAATAATGAAATAAAAATAAAAAAATACAACGAATCGTGACGTTGCGTTTATTAGTTAGCAAGGACGGCTTCAACTCCTTACCTTTCACTGAACAGTATTGATTTAATGTGGTGGTCTATATAGCAAGTTATGTTAGACCAGATTTGATATCGAGGTTGTCCCTCACTCTACAGTTTTTTTTATAGATCATAATGAAATGGTGCATCCGCCTGCGTTAACGATTTACGCTTCCGAGGTACTAATGAGAATTATAAAATCGGCATGAGGTCAAATCCTGACCTAAATTTATTATGATGATTGCCTGGGGAACCCCTTGGAGGTCATCCTGACATGGTACACGTATAGTTGTAGGGTTACTAATTCTATTACTAACAAACGTCTTCCCCCCCAATGTATAATATAAACCAAACTAAATAAATGTCTCTAGTGGCATTTATTTGCCACTAGAGAAATTTATTTAGTTTGGTTCAATACTCCTTACTTACTCCTAAATTTACTGATACAACATATATTTCAGTTGTATCATATGTATAGATTTATGACTAATTTCAATTCTGTAAAAATATTAATAGCCGCTCTTATTGTGTATAATATTTTGTAACGTAATTTTACATAAAGAAAATATTTTTTGTCTGCATATAATGAAAGTCGTCAGGAATTATTGGCTGATATATTATTTATGTTATCTCTTACCAAGTGTACGTACGTACAGATACATTATATTATCTATAAAGTTATGCATTAGTAATATATCGGCTCGTTTAATGACCTTCTATCACCACGAGGCAACTGCCGTTACTATACATAGCCTAATCATATTAACTCGGGCATTTCCCCACATGCTGTTCTTAAATTACTCAACCACCAAATGACGTATGATATCAAACCGACAGTTAGGGCTTATCAATAACTCTTTTTAGAAGATATATTAAATTTATTTTAGAATACGTAATATAGGAAATATTGAATTTTATATATTAAAAATGTATCGTAAACGTATATGTAATATTTTGATGAAAATTTTAATTTATGTTCAAATATGTTTATGAAATATAAATATATATATATATATAATATACCTAAGTGTATTTTGCCATTGGGGAAAATAAATTGTCCAATTCCATCCTTTGAGGACGAAACTAAAAATTTTATATATAGGTTATTAATTATCCTTAATAATATTTTACAAATTCACATCAATTTGAGATATCAGAATCTCTTATTAATACTTTTAAGGCCGCTTACTATAAAACAGACAGAGACTGACTTATAAGAGCGTTAAACTGTGTTCTGTAGTGACTTATTTCACGGTTATTTACAATTTGTACACGTTACATAAACGGTTACGGTACGACTGACCAGGACGTTTGACGTTGGCATAGTGGGAGCACTTAAATAATATTATCGTAGTAAATATCTCATTTGTATAATGTATACAAATAAATTACAATCATAGTTATAATACTTTACGAGTGGTTAGCTGTGACAAATACACACATGTTGGATGCCGTAATATAGTATGATACTTTGAGATATGCGATGAGTAATCAAATTACGGAACTATTAAAACATTTGATTTATTATTATCTATGTATAATTTATGATTATGTATATGAGTTTCTAATGTAAGAATTGTTAAAATTTATGTAGTTGTATTATGTTGTTGATGGGCAATAAACTGACGAGTAGTGGTAAGTGACTGCCGCAGTTTCTCTGATGCATTGCCATTTCCAGAGTACTCAGGTGTCATGTCTCTTTATTGTGTAATTACACTGACTGTGAGCTACAACTCATCCTTCAAACAGAAGTTTACAAGACAGATGCTTGATTGTTGAAATTTGATAGGAACTCTTCTATCACGTTAATATTTCTGACTACACCAATTGAGATAACAGTTGTGAATGTGTTTTTATTAAATTGCTATTTGTCGTTTCAGCTACATCTGTCGCGATGGCACGACGCGACGTTGGATGTGTCACGGCTTCCTGGCGTCGCGCGACAGCGGCGAGCGACTGTCACACGCAGTGGGTTGCGCGTTCGCCGCCTGCCTCGAGCGCAAGCAGCGCCGCGACAAGGAGTGCGCAGTCTCTATGAGCATCGACGCCGCCAGCCACGCTTTCACACGACAGGGGTCCTTCCGCAAATCCGGTAATTATATGCTAGAAAGCTTTTATTTTTTCTTATAAGTTTTTAATTAATTTCTATGATTAAAGAGACGATCTAGATTCTAGATAATTATTTACTAGTAATTTTCATCAGACGGTGTCACATATGTATTTGGATGGTTATAAGGGCAAATAAAGGCGAAAAAGAGACTGATGGACTGTGTGAAAGATGATATGGTAAGAAGGGGAGTAGATAATGAGATGACTGCGATCAGAGATAAAATGAAGAGAAAAACATTACGCCGACCCCAAATAAATGGAATAAGGAAAAAGCAGATGATGATGATGAACTTTCATCAAAATAGAATCGTAATACATTGTTGCGTGAAAGCCGATTACCGCGTGATTGAGCGTACGTGTAAAAATAGCTAATGTGTATAATTACCACAGCGTACGCAATATAAGGATTTTTATGGTATTTTGTTTACAAATTGTGTTATCAGTGTTCATATCATCATCATCATCTTTAAAATTTTTGATAATATACTTATTAAACAATGAATTCTTTCGTCTTTATAATCAGTGGTGTGTTCGGGGGCAGGTATCGGGCGGCGCGTGTCGGAGGCTGACGCATCGCCGCCACCGCCGCCGCTGCCGCCGCCGAGCGCGGCGCCGATCGCGAGCGCGGTGGCGCGCCCCACGCCGCACAATCCGTTCGCTGTAGAGCGGCCGCACGCCGCGCCCCATCTACTCGAACGACAAGGCTCGTTCCGAGGATTTGCTCATCTTAATAATAGGTAGCTTCATATTAATATTACCAGATTGGTAGATATTTATTAATTTTTAATTGTGTACGTTATTTTCATAATTAAAGTAATTTAAATTATTGTAGTCTAGGAACATATTTATAAATTGTACTTTCGGACTTTCCGTTATCAGAAAATTTAATGTGAAGAGAATGAAATGGGAAAGGATAGTTTGGGGAACTCACTTTATTTCTCAAGTAATCTTAGCTTGTTATATTATCTTATATTTATGTTTGTTTATTAAATTTTCAGTTCTCCATTCAAGCGCCAAATGTCATTGCGTATAAGTGAATTGCCTTCGAACCTGGAGCGGCAGCGTGCTGGGCTGGGCTCCCCACCGCGTACTATTGGACCGCTACAGAACGCCTCTCCCGCGCCTAGCCCTTTGCCGGACCTCGCCCCTCTCGAGGTCAGTAACACTCCATCATAGTACAGAAATTAGGAAATTGTTAATAAAAATAATTAATAACTCGTCAATCTACAGCTAATCAGTATTAAGCTATGATTTACAATTTGGCAACAGTTCAGTAAGGCTATATCCGATTCTAACAAATTGGTATGTGATTTGTCCAGTGATAATCTGCCGTCATAGTTCTGTGTATAGGGAGAACATTATCATCAGATGTCAGATCGTATAGTATATTCCTTGGCTTTGATATATTCAATAATGTTCAGTTTTGCGATCACTTGTAAATCGACGATAAGCTAAGGTTTTAAAAGTACAATAAACAGATAAATAGCATGCTCAACACTCTCTGTATTAAAAACATGTAACCTCAAATTTCATAATAATACCGGTTCTTATCATTTTTATCAGACTAGACTTTGTATAACGCTGGCTATGTAGTGGGGCGTATATCTCATCTAATACAACTAGCCTCCTCTCCGATCGATCCTCTGTCCAATTCAAACGGGGATCGATATTACGACGGCCTGAGCTGAGGTTCGAACCCCTAGCCTCTACCCCTAGGTGCCCTCAGACTAAAGTCGTATCCGTCAGGCGGGAGTTGCCCTTCAGCCGCTCCATAAATCCTTCACTGCACTATATACTGCAGTGCTGTGTCTGCACTCGCCCCCTATCATCCGGTGAAGCTGTAAAGGCCAGCTGCGGCCAACAGCATTAGAGTAGTCCGAAAAAAAATACGACCAGCCACAGAGTAACTAATAAACTTATTTATATATGTATAATTTGTATATAAATTCTGTATTTATTTTTGAGGGTGAGATAAGGCAGTGAAATTACGGTGTACAGACGCACATTTTAGTTCTCCAGACTAGTAGCGCATGAGAGGTACTACAAGCATTACATTACGACGTGCTCGTGATGCCCTGTTGTATATAGGCGACGGTTACCAGTCACCATCGCATGATCTTCAACCGCAACTGACAAACATTAACTACAGTAATATAATTAATATGGGTGCGTGTGCTGTAGACGTCGCGTACGGAAGCGGACCCGGTGGCGGCGATGTGCCAGCAGCTGTCGCTGGGGCTGCGCGCGCTGACGGAGGAGGCCGTGCCGGCGGCTGTCCCGGCGGTCGTGCCGGCCGCGGTGCCGGCCGCGGTAGTCGCGGCGCCTCTGCCGCACCCGGACGCGTGGCTGGGCCGCGTGGCGCGCGCTCCGCCGCTCGCGGCGGCCGGCCGCGCCGCCTCCTACGCCGGCCACTCCGTCGTCTCCACCAACCCGTTCCTCGCGCCCGCACTGCCGCAACCCTCGCAGCATCCCACGCCCGCTGCGCACTTTTAGAACGTAGTGGTGAAAAGGAAGAATATAACTCGTTATTGTCTAAAACCTGAGCACGACCGAAATACGGATAAAGCCGGCGCCAGACGTTATCCCACGTCTATCGAATCAATTGATCGAAATATTCCAAGTTCCAATGTGTTCACAGTGGTCTACACTTTTGGTACAACAGTACTGAATGTGTACTGTAAGTGTTTATATGTAAGGCCGGACAGAGGCGACATGTCAAAGGAGTGATAAAGATCTTAAAAATTTAAGATGTGTCTGGCGCCGGGATAATAAATGACGGGTCTATCTGATCGATGTAATTATGATTGAGGCACAACTATGCCGTAACTCGACGCTGATTCTTAGACTTTCTTCACTTCTTGATAGTGAACTATAAAAAGTATATCCGTCGGTCCCACCAGCGACATATGCACATCAGGGAACAATTTATTAAAAACTAAACAAAATTGCCACTACTTGAATGGAATGTGATGGCTGTCAGGGGCCAATGGAAACGATATATATTATATTGCCCTTAACTAAAATAATGGACGGGCAAGGACATTGGTGCTGTTAATAGAATGGTAAAACAATCGGATAGAACGATAGGTTGATGCAGGCGAGATTGCATAAAAAATATTGAAAATATACGCGATATAACGCAACGCCTGGTATGAGTTCCTTTGAACTTATATTAAATTTTGCGTATTCATCGCTAATGATCAGAGTCAGCCGCAACGAAACGAAGCCTTGTTTTAGATATTTATCTGTGAAGTCTATCATAGAAGTTGCATTACAAACATTTATTACAATATCATATTGAGTGAGAGTAAACGACGGTTAATACTTAAATAGTGTTTGCAGCTTATTCACTTAGTTGTTCTGATATGTTCCTATTGTGTCTTAATAATATCGTGTATAATGTGCTTGCTAACTGTGTAGTATATTCGTAAAAGAATATGCTTCCTTGATATTACTACAATATCAAATATTTTACAAATGTACTTATTTAATATTCTTACACACAACTTAATATGGCACTTTCATTCACAATGAATTTTGTACTTAAACTAAATACTATTTAATTAAAGTTTACTTACGAACAAATCGATTAGATTGACAATGTATTCAGCGTGTATATTTAAAAAATGTATGTCCTTTTTTCCAAAATAATATGGAATATGTATCTCTAAATAGCATGAATCCAGTCGCTGTTTCTCTATTTCTCCGCGTCTAAAGCATGTCTATTGAATAGACTTTTATATGAAGTTCACCGTAATTACAATATTTCTTAACAGATTATTGTTTATGTACAGAGATTATCCTAATATTAATAATATTGTTCATATCAAAGTCTGAAAGGTATGTACATGCGTAAAGTTCGTGTTGACGATGGTTGTAGTTGAAAAAAATTTCAGCAGTGGAACTGTTGAAAAGCTTTCAATTTATTTTAGAGACACCAGATTTCATTGAATAAACTATTCGCAGCTGTAAAAAATATAGTTCTGCAAGTCAAGCGTGAGAATATAGTGTTATCTGTGAGTATTATACGAGTTTTATTTACCGCGATAGACGCCAAATATTGTCAGTCTCTGTGTACACTGCACTTATATTCAATTGTAACTATGAATAGCTAAATAAATATATGTCGTACGTAATTATGTCGTAAAACCGTATTTGCACGTGCTTCTGCGTCGCACACATTTCTATATCGTGTTCGTGTATAATTCGTAAGCAAGTAAGTCCACGTTGTAGGTACGTCCATGCAGTATTAATTGGTCGACGGCGATGTCCATGCGTTGTGTACAAACAAATCAAACAATGCAGTATTTTATTGTTAAACGATTACGTAATGTATAGTGGTTTTGGATATATTTTTCCTTTTTTGTATATAATTGTATATTTGTAGGATATTTACACCTTTATCGCTCGTGGATCTGTTTTTTTTATACTTTTTTATTGCATTAATTTAATAACAAATAAAAGGACATAGGACACCATACTATAGTTTAATTAGGTGAATTCAGCATTGTAAATTATTGTACTTACATGTTATCTTTGGTTAGTCGTAATGTTACTTAAAGTTTCTGTTTTGTTATTTATGTTTTCGACGATTTTATTTAGTAACATAACATTTCAATTTTTTGGTTTCTTTCTTTTACTTTATATTACCAGTGTTTAAGAATATCTGATCTATTGTATATTAAAAGTTTGCATAACTAGTAATGACAACTGCAATCTTGCATTTATACATTCCACGCCACACAATCTAGTTAATGAAGTGAAACAAAAACGCATATCAGTAGCTGGCCTTGCATTAAAGTATGTCTGCACTTGTACTTATAATTTATATAATAATTATATATTTATACATTAGATTATATTAATTGTGTGTATATTATACATAGTGAATAATAATATGTATAAAAAATAAATATGTATCCAACATTCATCTATTATAACATGATTATAAATTTGTTACTGTAAAAAATGTGTCTCTGTTCTTTGATGTACTTATCTTTTTCTATTTTATTAATACGTTAGTATTGGTCTCATAGCATAATTTTCATTATTTCGTAAATCATCTTTTGTTTTTAAATACAACATAATTTTGTAAGAATTTATCCATCAAATATTTTACACTAAAGACAAATATTATATTATCTCAAAATTCACTTATTTCAGAAGTATTGCTTCGGAAATATATATATATATATATAATTAGATTATATTATATAAATATATATATTAGTAGTGTGTAATGGTAATTATATTATTCAATGGTATAATTATCAAATGGTTAATTGTAATGATTCTTATGCTAAATATGAATATATTGTGATATCGTAATTACATGTGTTGTAGGATGGAATCAATTGATATGCACACATTTTACACAGCACCATATTTTGTGAACTTTACTCGCTGTTACATACACAGTACATATACAAACCTAGACGTAGTTTATGTAAGTCTGTAACTTTGTATGTACTTAATATTAATTTTATGTAACAGCGCTTGTTAAAATTGTACGTAACCTTGGACAAAATGTACTTAATGTGAAATTAAATCAATGTTATTTGGAGTTATTCGTTGGGTGTTATTTATGTACAGTCTACAGTGATTTTAACTTTGTCAAGCATGTAAATATCGACGCAAATATGTAGATATTTTAGATATCGAAAGTTCAAATATTATGAAGAATATTAAATATTATGTTTAGTTGAGAAAAATGTTTTTTTTATATTGTACTGTCTATTTTTGACCTTGCCTACATTTTTCGGCATTTTGTGTAATAAGATCGTTATCAATAGAAGGAATATTTGTTGATTATCATAGCTTTTCAATCCTTACAAATATATAATGCCATGTATGAATTGTATGTCAGGTGAATACCGATCCTTAGCAGGAATGTTTTTTACTTGCAATCCAAACGTTTAATACTGGGTCCTCTGCAGCCCATCGTGCTGTATGTCTGTTAAATAAAATAGAATCTACATCATACTGACATTTTGAGCTTTAATTTTGCTAACGAATAATTCCCTTGGTGCCATATGACGGAGCTGATCCAAGATCCATCAATAGGAAGTAGACAAAATGCAGCTAGCGAGTTTTTAGTATCATCACACAAGTAGTTTTTATTTCTAATCAGGGTTTATGAATTTCATCATCTAAATTATAAAAAATATTTTATTTCAACTAATATAATATAATCTAAATATAAAAAATATTTTATTTCATAATATACCTTTTTTATAATTGTATCATCATATATAAGTGAACAACAAAAACTCAAGTATGTCCGATTAATACTGACAATAGCAGTATGGCGTGCAGACTACATACATTACTCGATGAACCAATATGTGGTTGAAATTATGATAATGGAATAAATGTGGAATTTCAATTGAAACACTGTATGGCTTGCTGCACCTTTTTATTAATTAATTACATGAATACATTAGTCAACGGCATAAACTTCAGTGGCCTACATACTACCTAAACAACGTATATATTGTCTGTAAATTATTTACCTATACAATACAGATCTGATTACTAGAGAAACATCAACTTACAATAAAGCCCTAATTTAATGTAGCTTTAGTTGTATACTACCAAGACAATATTCATTTTACAATTTCATAAGTATTTCATAATTTTTTATTAGTTTTACAAATATAGAAAACTAGGTTGGAATGACTTTATTTAATAATTTGTATTTTCAATTGTAATTTAATTAATGACATTTGTGATTTCTGAAGCTTGCATTAAAATTGTTACTTTAAATAATTTTAATAATACGTACCCGGTGGGTGACAACTAGGTTTGTTCATATTCATACATTAAAATGCAAAATAGATAATTACTTCTACTCAAAAGGATACAGGTTCAAGTATATCACTTTACAATGTACTGACATATTCTCTGAAGTAATGGATGCAACAAAATAAACTGCATTATGTTTGCTTGAGCAACCTTTTCTTTAGTAATCAACTTTAGCTGCCCACTTATATCTAGCCTAATTTGTTTTGTTTTTCAGTGCTGTATCTAATAATTGAGACTAGGAATGTCATCTACAAATGCATACTTCGCTGGTAATATTCTTCAATTTGTAATTAACAATATATATAACTTCAGTCCTGTTTAGTAAGTTGTTTATTCTTGGTTAGCTCTGTTAAAGGCAAGTACAATGAAGTGAGTACAATAATGTTACATCACAAATTACAGGTTTGTTTCCATTTGCAAAGTTTCTATAATTTTAATAACAAATTAATATCATAGTTGTGAACATTATATTAAATCACAATTATTTACTTCAAAACAAATATATTAATTTTGAGGACACATAATCAAACTAAAGACTTAAGTATACACAATATGACTAGTAAATTATAGTATAACTATATTCGACTAAAAAATTAATTTCCATTCATAATTGGAATTCGTTTTTAAAATTATTATTATTCTTACAAACAAAATATATTATCACATTTCTAAAAAAAACACGGCATTTAGAATACAGAAAACATAATTTATAAATCACAAACTCATTGAAGGTTACGAATTTTGAGATCTTCAATAAATAATAATAAAATCAATTTTCACAGTATAATCTTACAATACTAATACTGATTAATAATTTACAAACAGCTAGTCAAAGCAAATAAGAATAATTTTGTTCAAGAAATATTACAGTATATATTTACAATTTATAAATTTCAATGGGAAGTGTTTATAAATAGACCAACAAATCGTATAAATGAATATAAAACTTATAAATTCTTTAAAAAAGTAAAATATGTTTCATATAAGAAGCAATAAAATGTATTTTGGTTTTTTAAGAGTAGTCAACTATGTCAATATCAGGACAATATGTCTTTTATATTTTTTAAACTACAATAAATGTAAGCATATTACTGATTAAACCCACAAACAATATGTTTTGTAATAAACAATGGAATACATTTAAATATTTGGTGAGTGTATAAATAAATAGGAACAAAAAAAAACAAGTTAGATAAAAAGCAGCTAGGCATTGTATTCTCCGTAATTGGAACAGAATTTATTTTATTACCTTATAATGTCATAGATAATAATTATTATAATATTGTAAAATATATCATGTTAATTATATTTTTGTTATTAATATGATGAAATACTGATGAGTATATTTTAGCTGCGGTATAAAAAGCAAGCATCTTACAAATAGCTTTAGCTATCGAATTTCGAATCTTTGCACGGCAAAGGGGTTCTACAGTATTCTCACTCTTTTCTACTATATATTTGCTACCCCAAGCACTATACTCTAATTGTATTATATCAAAGAATCATTATCTTTTAAGTTAGCTAATTACGTCGCATGCCTTGTCATGACTTATGTCATGATATTAGTCATGTCATATAATCTACATAATGGGGCACACAATTCTCTTTAAAAATAGTAATATATCTGTCATTTAATCTTTACATTACTATTTTCTTTATTTTTAATATTCACTACAAAGGAATGAACTATGCATGTTTAACGGATATTAAATTTACCAACAAGTCTATTTATAACAGACATACAAGCTGCTATTTCTGTTACATTAATATAAACATTTTCATATCAATTTCTCTAATTTGTCATAATTATGAATAAAAGTTAGCTAATGATGATGAAATATTATAAAGTAAGATAATTCAACTTCGCCGTAAGTCATGGACATCATCTCCATATTTTTTGTAATATTCATTAACATTGCTATAAAAAAACGAATAAATTAATTTACAATTAGTGTAGTCAATTTTTTTCTTAAATTGATGGACCAGCATCAGTTGTCTAGTGGTTACGTCCGGCGTTTCCACTTTCGGCGCTAATTTGTGATTTGTTTTAGATATAACATCAAATTATTTAATACGCACAAGTTAAAATTGAGCTCCATATAGTCGATCAAGTTTATGGATGTCATTCCTATAGTGTGACTACCACTTATGTAGGTACTTATTGAAATAATTAAAAATGGCGTGTTTTGTAAAGAGTGACAAGTACAAGTGAGATGATTCACCCCTTCTCAAATTGCACTATACGAATCACACGCAAGTCTTGCTGCGTGTGGGGCGTAACATATAGCCTGATACTAAATATTAACGACGCAAAACAAAAAAAAATCAACATTACGTGTAACAAAAGTGGTGTAATTTTTGTATATACCTTATGTTAAGTGTGATAATCGTGGCAATACATACAACACACATATATTTTATATCATATTATTTTTTATTAATGACGAATATTTTTTTTATTTTACGAGGTGATTAAATTTAAGGAACATATATTTAATATGTATAAATAATAAATATTATTTCTTAGTAATTTGTGGTATAAACGGTATTAAAATTCCGTGTCCGTATCTGACAATACAATATATTTTGCAATAATAACATTTATTCGTATATTTTATCGACGAGTGTATTTGTTTTGTGTACGTATAGTACGCAGTGCGTCGACTATTTATCAGCGGCTTCTTTATTTCGGACTACTCTAAAGCTGTTGGCCGCAGCTGGCCTTTACAGCTTCACCGGAATAGGGAGCGGCTGGAAGTCAACTTCCGCCTTACGGATACGACTCGATTCTAACCTCGGCTCAGGGCGTCGTAATGTCGATCCCCATTTAAATTGGACGGGGGATCGAAGTGAGGGGAGTGTGCGGGCACGGAGCGTGGAGTAGTGTGAGTTTTGGGGCGTCGCGTGCTACTGCTTGGCGGCGTGGATGTGGTCGTGGCAGCGCTGGCACACGCGCACGGGCCGCAGCGCGCGCAGGCGGCGCACGGGCGCCTCGTACCGAGAGCAGCGTCCGCAGAACACGGCGCCACACTCGCGGCAGTGGTGACGCCGCTCCAGGGCCGTGAACCGCACCTATTGTGCATACATTTATTATACGCCCCTTAACTTGCATACCTACACTTTAGCTTTACGAAAATATACCCCGTTCCAAGTTCAAAGTCAATTCAATACCCTTGTGTCATCTGTTGTCGGAGATCTGAGGAAAATGTGGCAACGCAATCGTTCTATGTTACTTGAAATGTCTCATTAACTGTTCAATGAAAATAAATTTATTTATCATACCCGCGGGTAACAGCTAGCTAAGGTTTCTTTTATGTACACCTGATTGTCGTTCACACAAGCAGTTCTATAACTATTATTTTATTAATTGGTATTGTATTAAGAATATTGTAAATTCATCTTTGTTGACAGAAACTGTCATATTAATCAAAACATATCATTTTCAATTGCATTACGAACCTGACACTGAGTGCAGTAAGGAGCTGTATCGTCACGTATCCAGTGGTCCGCTGGACCACCCTTCGCTCCAGAAGAACTCGACATGTCCGGAACCGACCAACGGAATATCTGTGATAACACAATAAGTATAAAAGTAGTAAAATTCAATATACTCATTGTATCAAATGTACATAACAGTCCTAAAGTGCTAAAGTAAGCCGATAAATCTTCCTTCACAATCGTTACTTATACAAGACATTACTTGCACATGGGTAAAAACAAATGCATTTCGCCAAAGTAAATGTATAATAAGAATATGCTGTAATTTAGTAACTATTATCTACAGCAGTACTTATTTCTCAAACTTTTTGATCGCTTTACCCTTTCTAGTAGTTTGTTGTTGAAAAGGTGACCATCTAAGAACCTACATCAAAACTATGAGTTGTGTCAGTGATTTTACTGACGTATTGAAGACATGAAAAGGTTGAAAGTGGGAATGAAGGTAAGCATTGTGATGTCAAAGAGTAACACAAATTCTGCTTGCCTTAGGACGAGATGACGTCGAGTGAATTGTCTAGGAGGATTATTATATATTTGTCACGCTACTTCATCTCTCGTTACTATATATGGTGGTGGCGGCGCGGTACGTACCCGTCCGCGCGCGTCGCCGACGGCGAGCCCGCGGCCGGAGCGCGCGGGCGCGAGCGCGGTGACGGCGGCGGGGCACGCGTTGTCGCGCCGCTCGAACGCCGTGTGCATCGTCAGCTTGCCGCGCAGCACCAGCCGACGACGCCACTTCGTCTCCGCACACACGCCTGCACACCACGAATGCCACATATCGACTTATAATTTTTAACTATTATAATGCAGTTGACAGCAGCTGGGCTTTACAGTTTTACATATGAAAATTATTAACCGGTTGAACGTCAATTCATGCCGAGTTTACTCTGAGGACATTGCTAGAACTTTGAACTTTAGTAGGCCGTCGTAATTTTGGTCGTTTGAATCTGACGTGCGATGAGACTATTTGCTTGTCTACATAAAATTTGTTGGTTGTGAGTGAACTAATAAATACAAGCCCATCTGATAAACAGTGACAACCGCTGGGTATATTCATGAATAGTACTACAATGGATATCATTACGAACGACTTAGATGTCATGCATTCTAGCTGAATGCATGACATCTAAGTCGTTCGTATATTTCACGCTTTGAAAGACACAAGCAAATTGCTAGATGACAGAAATAGGTAAGACAGAGGTACCCATGCCAAACTTCGTCTACCATACTGCATACTTATTAAAAACATTCAATGCATTATTATTTGCGTGTAATTGATTAATAAAAATTACCAAGATTAGACTTTGTAAAAAAATCGTCTGTCTTACCTATTTCAGCTACTAAGCAAAGCACACTGATTTGTAAAATATGTTTCCGTTGGAGTGTCATAAGGCAGTGATATTACAGAACAAGAGGCATGTGATAACGTGCGTAGTGTACGACAGTTTCCACTTCTCATTAGGTAGTTAGTTCATCTGTTCAATTGCCATTCTAATCAATAAAAAAAAAAGTAAACTGGTAAACTGACCTGCATCGGCTTGCCCTTGTGCGTTGGTGCGTGCTTGCCGCGTAGTAGAGGAGGTGGCGGCGGGCGAGGCGGGCGCGGACACGAGCACGAACGAGTCCGTGAGGCTCGTGTCCGACTTGCTGGCGCGTAACCCGCCCTCGCCCGCGCCCCCGCCCGCCCCGCTCACCCCGCAGCCCACCTGCACTACCGCCGCGCCCTCTAGCGAACCAGACTCCGACGACTCGCCGATACTGCCGCCACCTGTGCCATCAACTCCATATCATTCTTCGTTAAAGTTACGTCAGACTAAACAGAGTATGAAATGCCAAGAAGTTTCAGAGGTGAATTCCATACCGCTCCGCCGCCGGTGAATTCCGTACCGCTCCGCCGCCGGACGTCAATGAAATGAGCTTCATCTCGCCCGGCGAGGTAAGGCGGCTCGTCAGCCGCCTGCCGAAGCGCAAAGCGCCCGGAGCGGACGGGATCACTACCGCAGCGCTCGCACAGCTACCCCTTAGAGCCCTAGTAAGTCTAGCGAGGCTCTACAACGGCATACTCCGGACCGGCCAATTTCCCAACAGCTGGAAGTTGGGGCGAGTCATAGTTCTCCCGAAACCCGGCAAGGACAAGCGCCTGCCGGCAAGCTACCGGCCAATCACTCTGGTCTCGCACGTAGCAAAGTCGTTCGAGCGCCTCCTGCTCTGTCGCTTGAGGCCGACACTGACGCCTCGCGACGAGCAGTTCGGCTTCAGAGGCGGCCACTCGACGACTTTGCAGCTGACGCGCGTGCTCCACCACCTAGGTGTCGAGCACAATCGTGGCCACTTCACGGTCGGCGTCTTTCTCGATATAGAGAAGGCGTTCGATCGTGTCTGGCACGATGGCCTCGTGTCGAAATTGCTCGACACGAGCACGCCGCGCGCATACGTGAGGGTAGTGGACGCATTCCTCTCTGGCCCGAGCTTCTATGTTTCAGTCGAGAATTGTGACTCTACCACGCGCCCAATCGCCGCCGGAGTCCTGCAGGGCTGCTGCATATCGCCAGCGCTCTACGCGATGTACACAGATGACATCCCCACCTTGAGGGATGAGCTCCGACAGGGAGAGAGAGATGTCGTCCTCGCTCTATTCGCCGACGACAGTGCATTTCTCACATCGTCTCGCCGAGCCCATGCTGCCGCTCGCAAAATGCAGCGGTTGTTGGATCTGCTCCCCGAGTGCCTGGATAAGTGGCGCACCACCGTCAACGTGGGCAAGACGGTGACGCTACTTACCCGCAGCCGGTGCCACTATCCGCCGCCCCTTACACTCAGAGGCCCCCATAAAATGGGAACGCACAGTGCGTTACCTAGGGGTTAAAATAGACCGGTCGCTGCGCGTGACGGCGCAGGTGGACCGGGCCGTTACCCAAGCAAAGGCCGCACGCGCAATGCTGCAACCGGTCCTACAATCCAGGCTGCAGCTGCGAACGAAGGTAGGGATCTATAAAACCTACATTCGTTCGCGGCTCACATACGCCGCCCCCGCATGGAACGCACTGTGCTCGGCCTCACAGCGGCGGAGACTGCAGGTCCAACAAAACGACGCCCTCCGTCTGTGCACTGATACCGGACGGTGCGTCCGCAATGACGTGATCGCCCGTGACCTCAAGGTCCAATCGGTGGACCAGTTCGTCGTCCGGTTGACGCGCGCGATGTTCTCGCGTGCGGACAGCGGGCGACAAATGCATCTACGGGACCCTACACGCGCGCCCACCGGACGCCACTCGCGACCTACTCTCCACCGAGTGATCACGTCACTTGCGTGACGTGGCCGCGTTAAGCCGGCTCGGCGAGCAAAAAGTATGATCCCCGCCACAAAACGGCTACAGGTGGCTGCTGAAAAGCAGACGCCCTCCGGCCGGCCGGTAAACGAATTACGCTGGGGTGGTTCACCCTAGCAGTACGCCAGGGTAAAGAGCCCTGCTCGAGGCCCGCACCCTGCGGTCCGCAAGGACCAGCGGACGACCCGAAGTGGAAGTGGAAAAGTTTCAGAATGAACACAAAGAAATTTCTCTTTTTGCACAATACATTTACTAGCTGTACCCGCGACTTTGTCCGCGTGGAATTTCTTTTTTGTTCTAAAATATATGAATTTTTCTAAAATAAAAGTAGCCTAATTTACTCTTTATTACATCAGCTACCTGTCAATAAAAGTCCCGTTCAAATCGGTCCAGCCATTTCAGAGATTATCCGGAACAAACAGACAGACAAATATTGGAAAAAAAAAACAATACTCTGGTGTATGTACAGTATTTAGATTCATATGCATGTAGTAAAAAACGGTTATTTCAATATTACAAACACACACTCCAATTTTATTTATATGTATAGATGTATAGATTAACGTGCGATTGAATTTTTAATTGAACTCATAAAAATATATCCCATTACATAGTTCTACATATATGCAAGACTAGTAAAATCGATAAATTGAACCTACTTTTACGATACAAGGGATTCCCCTTTGATTTTCTCCTGAGCACGACATTCCCTTGCTTCTGTAGTTTACTCCTATTTATAGTGTCCTTTTCGATATCTAAGTCTTTCTCGTTATCATATTCTTGTTTCGCTTCGTCGCACGAGTCTATATTGTCTTCCTTCTCCTCCGAATACTGTGGATCTTCATTATCACTACAAATATCCTTCTCCTCGTGCCGCCGAGCGGATTCTTTCGCACTCGTGGTCTCACATGCATCAGATAAAGAACTTTCCGATCCTGATTTAGTGAGATTTCCTACAAATTATAATACTAGTATAAATATTAATACTAAGTGTGACTGAACAGCTTTGTCTAAATAATGCTAAATTGATTAAACAGTCAAATGTCAGAAACAGCAGGAAATGTTCGGGAGGACCAAATATTTGAATTACAATTGTTTGGAGAAAAATATGTTTACTATTTATACCACATTGCTAATATTTATTGATATAATGTTGCTTTTAAGATAAATATCTCAGGAAGACAAACATCCGTTTACATATCTCATATACAAATATATTATTATATGATACAGAGTAAATAAAATATACTATCAATGACAATATTACAACACTGAACATTAGATATGTTCAACATATACTCTAACAAAATGTGATAATATTTAAAACAATGTTTACCTTCATTTTCATGAGATAAACTCATTTGTTTCACTAGTTCTTCTACCCGTTTTATAGCTGCTTCTCGGTCAGTTTGCTCCATATCTTCGGTTTTTATTTCACTCTCGGATTTCGCGTCATATTCTGACTTAGTGTCTTCACTATCTTGCACAGAAAGTTTATGTTCATCTAAATCTTTGTCTATATCTATCGAGGTAGGTTCAGGATCTAGACTAACAGCTTCTAAACTCTCATTTTGATCTTCCACCGTTTCTGCCACATAATCTATTGACCACATCTGCAATAAGCAAATTTTTTTCATAGATTGATTAGAATGACTAGGTATTTTATTAAATGTATTTAACAAAGAGTAAATTTATATAAATTCCATAAAAAAATCAAAGAGATAAATTAAAGAGTATATATTTATATATATATTTTTTTTATTATGTCGCATTAAAAAAAAATCCAAAATTGTCACCCTTCTATCACCCAGCCCTATTTTTTAATAGCACTATTAATTTATATGCCAAAACAACGTCTGCGGGGTCAGCTAATATTTTTATAATATAGTGTTATTCTTCTATCCCGACTGTTATTATGTTATTCGTCGACCCTTGCGGCCTACACGTATCGCGAGTGGCGCTCACCCTGACGACGCCGTCGCTGGAGCCGGTGAGGATGACGTTGAGCGGGTCCCACTCGCGCGTCTGGCTGAAGGCCACGCACAGCACCTGGTGCGAGCGCTCGCGGCCGCCGCCCGTGTCGGCCGCGCCCACCAGCTCGCCGTTGATGGACCACGCGTACACGCTGCTGCCGCTGCACGTCGCGATGTCGCCCTGTACCACATCATAATTTTTCATTACAGTCGTCGTCTAGTCATCGTATAAATTATTTTACTTCTGGATTCATTGTTTGAGTTTTCTAGACTAGCAGAGGAGGTTCCTTTACTTCACTTTATTAGGTATGATTACTTTCGGCACTGTTCGGTTCTTTCATTAACGATTGGTTTGTGTCTACACTTGTAATATTTCTGTCGACACTTGAGACCCTTCCGTTAGTTTACATCTCCACAAATATAGATTTAAGTTAAGTGTAAAATCAGTTTACGTCCCGACTCCGCGTCGACTGGACGCGTTATTGATAAACCATGTAGCACTACCAATAGACTTAATAATCTCTAATAAATATTGCAATCATTTTACCGGTATACTCACTACCTACCTACTACAATAAATAATATATTAAGTAGCGACACCTCATCACGTCACAACATATATAACGCTACGGTGATGAGGATAACCACCGCGCTACAGGTTATATTTGATTATTAATTTAAGTGTCGACTGGTTTGCCACAATAAATTTATAATATATATATATATACGTGTGTGTGTACGCGAGATGTGAGAGGTTTGAGATGTTTAAGGGGCGTGAGAGGCGTCACCGTGAGGTCGTCGATGGCGAGCGCGGAGACGGGCACGCGCGGCGGGCCGGCGGCGGCGTGCGGCGGCAGCAGCTGGCGCACGAACGCGCCGCGCTCCACGTCCCACACGATGGCCTGCCCGTCGCGGGACCCGCTCACCACCAGGTTGTAGGCGGGGCTGGCCGCCAGGCACGTCACCGCCTCCTCGTGCCCGTACAGGCACACCTTCACCGCCAGCCGCCGCCGCCGCGCCCAGTACTGCCACACAGTCACCACCTGCACGAGCACCACGCGCACTTACAATACTATTTACATTGTAACATTATTAGAGCGATCATAAACCGATTAAACCGACGAATCCGACCCGTTCAACCCCTTTACACGCTGCGAGTTTTGGTTGGAATCATCGTAAAATTACAAGAGAGATCATAAACTGACTAAATAATATAACGAGCCCCCGGCTTGTCTAGATCAGCCTCTTATGGGTGCACGGAACTGAGCCGACAATGAAACATGTTTATTAGTTGTTATTACTATGAGAAGCAACGAAAGTTTACTTGTTGATAGCATTAAGAATTAATAATTTACAACATTATAACATTTTATTAAAGATACACTTTTAATTTTGTTCACGGTTCCATGTACATTATAAAGGTGTCCATTTAGTAATAAATACTAAACACTCACCGTACTAGTGCCCGCGGTAACGATGGTCTTAGCAGACGGACACACGCAGGTAACAATCTCGCCGCAAGCCTGCGCGACCGTCTCGCACACAAACACCGCTTTATCGTTGTCGTAGTTACCAATCCTGAGGGAGTGGTCCGCGAAGCCCCACGCCACATATTTATTGTACGACGGAGGCATTAGCACCTTGTTCTGTTCCACGGCCAGTATTGCTTTATCCGTGTAGAGAATTTGACCAACCGGACCTTTCACTTCTGCAAAATGCGAGTTTTTATTTATAAATTAGTCAATTAGGATTTTATGGGACACAGTGTTTGTTAGCCTTGACCATTCGGTTACCTAGATATAATGTAATTATAGAATGCAGTTATTATTTTGATGTAACACGCTCACTAATTATATTTTATACGCCTCAGACACTTGTTAGTTCAATTATAAGGATTGCTCATAGTTAGGAAGTTATTCGCGAAATTATTTCTTACTCGGTGCACTTTTTTGAAAAGAGATAATTAAAAAAAAATCTAACCTTTAACAGGCTGTAAAGAAGGCCTTAAATTTTCCAAATTATGGAAAAATAGCTTCTCTGGTGGAGTGATTCCTTGCGATGGTATGATATTATTAGGATCCAGAATGGTCGAACTACGCTGTGACATTTTCTTGCTAGGATGCGCTTTCTTAAACAACTGCTTTGGAATTTGACCAAAATTGTTTATGAATCCGATAGTGGCCGTTTTCTTCAGTGGATCATCAATGCTGAAAGACACAGATTTATTATCGTAACAAGTTTACCGTTGTTCTCATCGAATTGTTGTCATATTAAAGATAGATATTAAGTAAGATATTAGAAGACAAGACAGCCAAAACAGACATGTGAAAACCACATGTCGTACGAAAAAAAGAAAGAATATAATTGTAGATAACATAAACTAAATACACACCTATATATTCCATCCTAGAATGGTCCTATCACGAAGTAGTCGACATTTTAAAAAATGGTTGCTTTTCCTAAACTACTGTAGTTTTTTACACTACTATGATATGAACGAATAGGGATCGTTTGACTATATAAACTACTAAACATATCTACAATATTTGTGTGTATTATACTCACTTGTATATATCGACGTTGCCCTCGTAGAAGAGATGATGGAAGACATTACAGGCATCGACCGCGGACTGGCCCTGCTGCTTGTAGCCGAAGACGAGGTCGATCCAGTGATGCAGGCGGTGCGACACGTAGTCGGACTCGAGAGCGGCGCGGTGCAGGCGGATGAACTCGCGCGGGTCGCCGCGCGCCCACGGCGGCAGCACCACGTCGCCCAGCGCCACGCCCGACTGCTTGCAGCCTGCAGCGGACACACAACACAACACGACATCACAACGAGGCGGATCAACTCGCGCGGGTCGCCGCGCGCCCACGGCGGCAGCACCACGTCGCCCAGCGCCACGCCCGACTGCTTGCAGCCTGCAGCGGACACACAACACAACACGACATCACAACGAGGCGGATCAACTCGCGCGGGTCGCCGCGCGCCCACGGCGGCAGCACCACGTCGCCCAGCGCCACGCCCGACTGCTTGCAGCCTGCAGCGGACACACAACACAACACGACATCACAACGAGGCGGATCAACTCGCGCGGGTCGCCGCGCGCCCACGGCGGCAGCACCACGTCGCCCAGCGCCACGCCCGACTGCTTGCAGCCTGCAGCGGACACACAACACAACACGACATCACAACGAGGCGGATCAACTCGCGCGGGTCGCCGCGCGCCCACGGCGGCAGCACCACGTCGCCCAGCGCCACGCCCGACTGCTTGCAGCCTGCAGCGGACACACAACACAACACGACATCACAACGAGGCGGATCAACTCGCGCGGGTCGCCGCGCGCCCACGCCGGCAGCACCACGTCGCCCAGCGCCACGCCCGACTGCTTGCAGCCTGCAGCGCAACGCCATATCAGAATAAGCCGGATGAACTTAGGCAGGTCGCCGAGTCGTGACACCATATAAGAATGATACTGAAGAACTGGCGCGGGTCGCCGAGTCATAACACCATTTCAGAATAAGGTGGAAGATCTTGCTAAGTCGTGACATCATATTAGAATAAAGCGGATGACTGGCACGGTACAACGAAAAAATTAAAGTTTGTCATGTTTTACAAGAGACACGGTTGAGTTTCCCTGTATTTTAACTTATAATTGCAACAGGTCTAAAACCTTGTGGTACACCCCCTCTCACTTATGTTCATGTTATGAGTAGATTATAATCCTTTCTTATTCTCTAAAGACGTTTTATTTTACTATTCGTTATTATATTAATACAAAAAATATATTTACCCAAATCGAAGTTATTTAAATTGACCAAGAATTCGGGCAAATAAAAGAATTCCGGTATGAGTTCCTTAACATCAGCCATGTTATGTCGCGATGCTGAATTCCACGCTTCTTTTATGGAATGAAACATTCTGTAACAAAATTGAACGATGCAATAATTCAACATTAATACATTTATTACACATAGTTTATAAAATATAAAACAAATATGAATAATAACAATATTCAAGATACCCGACGGGATTAAAGGATTCTGTGGGGATATTTTGAATTCATGTAAACCGTCATTAATAAATTATTTCTTACTCTATCCATTTGGTAATTAACAATATGTAAAAAATATTTTTATGGTAATAAATATTAGTTACTGATAGTCCCCATTATATACAGATAAATACTAAACATGTCGTCAGGTGTTGAAATAATGCACAAAATAATGCACTAGAAACCTTCACTTCAGCAAGTTCAGATTGCGGCAGTGCAAATACTCCCTATTTTTCCAGAGCACGGAAACCGGAGTAAACAGTGAAAAATATATTATTTTAAATTATATTTATCAATAAAGGAAGATGCTTACCGATCAGCTAGATCGAAATGTCCACCCTGTAACCGCAGGAAGTGCTGCGTAAATGGCTCCATTCGCACGAGATAAGAGCACACGATCATAGCGGATGAGTAATGGGTACCGTAGTGGTAAGGCGGCGTCTCCCCGTGTGGGTCGTCCCATTCCTTTCAATTTGTAATAATGTCATAACGAAGCCAATAAGCAGTGCCAGCATGAATTTGCTTGTGAAACACCATCATTTTTAGTATATATAATCATAGGCATATAATAGAAGAGATTCAAGATCCAACAAAAAAAATCGAAAGAAATCAACTGTTATTTTGTCTTATGGAATCATCATAATTAAATGCGTATTTTATATAAAATTTATGAACAATAAATATTACTGTAGAATTGAGAATTTTTGTCTTTTCTAGTAAATTGAAATGAACATAATATGTATTAGATCAGTAAAAGTTTCTCGTCAATTTCAATTACAACTCCATTTACCAAAGTACCACTTGATGTTTTACAGAGTAATAAGAAAATGTGAAGATAGAATTTATAATCCTTTAATAGCTGGATTTAATTTTTCTATAGCAATTTTGTGTATTTTAACAAAAATATATATTACCTTATATCTTTTCCTGAACTGTTCCAATCTGTCTGTACTTTGAGCTCCCATTGGTTTAGTTAGGTCCCGAAAAGTGGCCGGGTCTGTTAGGTCCAGATCTAATGAATCATAATCGGCTAGTATCCATGGAAAAACTGGATACTGCATTAAGTCATTGTAGGATCGTCCAGCCAAAGTATTCAGGTGCATCAAATATTGGAAGTTAGATATTTCACCCCGCTAAGAAACAAAAAATAGTATGTAAATAAATATCTAGGTCTATATTATATAAAAAGATAGACTAAAGCTTTAGTTTCTATGTGTCATCGCCTTAAGTTTTTGAAAATACTAAAAGGATTTTGTTTTGTAACTAGTATGCTATAATAGAAATATAATTCAAATTAAATTAATAAATGATAATTTATCTAAACTTGGACAGTTTAAGGTACAATATATATTACAATATTATGCTATCTCTATAAAAAGTGCCTCACTCGTATAGTAGTAATATAATGGCATAATAAATATAGTAAATTAATCATACAGACACATGGATGTATGTATATACAGTAAGAGACCGGTATCATCACCTAATACGTACATACGAATACACACTAATCTACTATGCATAAATACCTATGTACATATATACATATTTATATTTGGCCGTATAACATAAAACTGTGATAGTAATACGGACCAGCCAGCGCTGCGTGACGGAGGTGTCCCCGATGAGCGTGGCCAGCAGGCCGGCGGGCTGCTCGACGGCCACGCCGCGCTTCTGGCCCGCCACGGAGCCCGCCGCGCTGTCCGCCATGCCCGTCGCCAGCGACGTGAACCGGCTGTACACCTGCGTCACAACACCACTCAAATAAGCCACACATTATACCACTCCTACATAACATGGCAAACCAACCAAAATAATACGATTAGCTTTCTTTACAAGACACGTTCTTTCACGCGCTATCAGGCGCGTGAAAGTCAGCGCGCGCAAAGTTGAGAGACTGAATTTTTCTATTTTTTGTATTATTTCTTTCTGGCATCTGTATAATTCATATCGATTACAAAAATGCGCAGTCTTTCTCATTTTCTTGCCTACATTTAGTTATGGTTCTATTGTACAGTAAATTATAAACATGTTTTTTTTACTACATTAAGCTTACCTTCGTTCTCACTTTTCGCGGAAATGCAAGTAAATAATTTCTGCCATCACTTGAAAAAACTTCCAGTGCAATCGGTTGCAACAAATATCGTCTCTTGTGTACTTCCCTGTTTATGACAAAAAACAAGAGCTGTTAATAAAAGGAATTCGTCATTTTTATAAAGTACACAAATAATCATAAATAAGTCAAATTTATACCTATATATATATAATGTCGCACTTATGTTACCGAGGCCACTAAAATAATATTTGACATGAGACCACTAAAATAATTTCTGCATACTAAACTGAGAATTGCCTTGACATTTAGTACTTATTCATTGCAATCGGTTTGCAAACAAATCCGTAATAACTTATATTTAACTAGTTCTACTAATATAAAACTCACCGTATGTCCTCATATAAAAATTTCGAGCATTGCCGTTGATTGCTCCTTTGAATGCCCTGACTGGGTAGTATAGGTTCGTAGTCGTCAGGACAACTATCTAAATCCCTAATTTCTCTGTTCTTGAGTAAAGTGAAACCATCAATGATATAACAATGTTCTCGACCAAATAATAATAAACCTTCTGTAGTGTCTAGACCTTGTATTCTTGCACAGCGGAACATGTGAGAGATCTGTAATTTTTTTTTAAATTATCACTTGCTCTATTACCAGATATATAAAAAATTACTTTACTAGTAAAGACAATAAGGACGAATTTATGAAATTAACAACTGTTTTCTTAATAAAGTAAATAAGATGTATACATGGATTGTTGGACTGTGTTTGAAAATATATTCACCTTCTCATGATGTTCTAGTAGTCGTAACAGAGTTTGGTTGTCAGGCGGCGGTTGTGGTGGCTCATCCTCATCTTCATTGTCAGGACCATCTTCATTTGCTAAAATAATGAAACAAAATATTTTTATTTAGTCCATGAAAAACAGTAGCAGATAATAAAACAATATAGAGGTATTGTGTAATCAAGAAGTTAACATAAAGAAGTTATCAAATAATAAATTATAAAAAAATTCGAAATCATGATTTAACAATATTTAAGCAATAACTATTATTGTTAAGTGATGATAGCTAGCAGTATACTTGAGAGGTACCTTCTCCAGATGTTTGATTAACACCACGGCTGACCACGCCACTGCTGACTAAGTCCGAAGGTGAGCCGTCCTCGTTGACTACATCCAATGATGAATCCCTGTTACTTGAAACATAGTAAATTCTTAATTAATGTATATTTTATTTAAGGTAATGATAGCAGGTACGGATACTGTTATATGAATTCACTGGTTTCGACCGTAACTTACATTCCACTGTAGCATCGCGCCGTGTTAACCAATTTTCTCTAGTTTGAAATATATTGACATATAAATATAGTGATGGTAAACTATATCATTGTTTATAGTCCACATTATTATTATTATCTCTATTAGCTGGTAAAAGCAGGCTCAGTATTGGTCAGGAATAACATAGTACTTTTAATTATCTCATTTTACAGATATACCGGTAATTATAAAATAATAATTATTTCAATAGTAATACAAACTTCGCAACTTCCTCTTCATATGTCTCCAAATCAGCGGGGTCTATGAAGTCATTCTCCCCCAAATTAGTTGAAGATGTTCGCCATTGTTGATACATCTTGTAATATTCTTTGCTGTCTAAACTCTGAGCCACTTTGTACTTGAGTTGTTTCTAAAAAGTAAAGTTATTGTTTGAAAAAATAAATTGTAAATTTGTTTAATTAGGATTAAAATAACATAAAAGATTTTAACGATAATTCATGAAGGTATTCAAGAAAATTTGGTGTAGAAACAATTAGATGGAAGTAAAATGAAGTGAATGTTTCATTCATTAAATTGTTTTATTTAGATCTTAGTCCTTCATGCCAACATATTAGGGGTACAACGGTAATTACACAATGACGTGACATTCGTGTTTGTTCATATATATGTGACGGTCATGTCATTATATATTCCGTCAGCTAATTTTTTATTTTAGTTACACAAAAATAAATAATTAGATTATTATTTGATGAAATCACAAAAAAGAAAGTACATTTCAGTGTTTGCCCACAGGATGCTCCTGTGCAGCTAGTTTTCGTCAGAACATTTTTATTCCAAATTTAAACATATGTAGATATTTTACCATGTTTATAACATATAATCAAATATCTACGGTAGCACAACACAACAACTAAACTATAATACAAATAAAATTATCAGTTTATATCAACAACTTATCAAATAAAACACTATTTTACATATGTTAAACTGCAGAACATATAATGTAGTGTAAGTACGTACGTTGTCGGGATGTTGCAGATGCGGGCGGTACGGGTAGTGCAGGTAGAAGAGGTGGTTGCGGCGAAGCATCTTACGCATGCGGCACGGGCCTTCGGTGGAATCGAGCAGCCACTTGTGCAGGGGCGCGGCGCGGGGCGGGCCCCAAAGAGCCCTTTCACGTGTAAGTTCCCGCCACGCGGCCGCCCACTCGGCGCGAACGTCTCGCAACGTGTGCGCTCCCGTCACGCCTGCTGCTGCGCGTGCGTTTGCCCATGCTTGTCTGTCCGCGACCAGATATATTTCTTTAAATATATCTTACAATAACTAGTGGTCGAAATTAGACCTTAATTTAAATTATAATAATAATAACCCTGGACAATTGTCAACGCCATCTAGTCCCCCGGTAAGTAGAGTTTGTGTTATGGGTGCTAGACGACTGATATAAATACTTAGATATTTTTTTTGTAAAACTTGCATAATACATGGAAAATATGCGGATCGATACAAACAATAACACTCATGAATACAAATGTTTGTACTGCGCGGGGAATCGAACCCGCGACCATCAAAATTAAAGCAGAGTGCTAAACCGCTAGACCATCGAGATCGTTAATTTATAAGTTTCATCATTATTAACTTATAATACAGATTACCACTTGTGTAGTAGTAATCAGTATTAGAATCTTAATAATAACATAAAATATTAAATTAACTTTCTTTTTATATTTCTATATTTTAACTTTTAACTAGTCAGGCCTTATAATCTTATGGTAGCACACACATGTATGTAACATTAAAAACCACATTTAGAGCCATTTTCAGCAGCAAAAATTTAAATAGTAAAAATATTATATATAAGCCAAACAATCTTAAAATACTGTAAGAACAATATAGTGCAATATTTACCTAACCAGCTGCACGTGATCCTGCATGTATGCGAGGGCATGTTCCCGAGGTGGATGTGGGCGTTGCTTTGCCGATTCCTCCTTCTTTACCTTCGTTCTGGACGCTAGGCGAGTCAGCCCTCCTGTCACCTTTTGTATTTTAGACTGTATCTGATTGTGCAGTTCCCACGGTACTCGGTAAACCGCCTGGAAAAAAATGTTACTAAATTATTGCAAATATGCTCTAAAATAATATATTTTTATTGTATTCTATTACAATCAGCACTAGACATGAAATAGCGAATTCTTTAAGTTAGTTTTTTTTTTCATATATGACGGCGTCGGTGGTTTAGCGTTTTAGCACATCGCCTTAGTTTCGATGGCCGCGTTACTACTAACTGTATGTGTGTATGTAACTGTATGTCTTTTGTACCAAGTTTAAACAACAACCAGTGTTGTTTACACTGGTTGTTGTTTAAACTTTGTACAAATTTATGACATCCTTATTAGTAGTGATAGAATGAGTAGAGTGAGGGTAGTGAGTGTCCGGTGTAGTGTTGACCTTGCGCTCGGCGTCGATGTAGTTGAGCCAGAGCCTGTGCGCCTGGTCGAGCAGCTGCTCCCGCACGGCGGCCAGGTCGGGCGCGCGCGCGTGCGCGGCCGCCGCCGCCAGCGTCACCTTGAACACCTCCTCGATGGCCGGCTTCTTGCACGCGTACAGCTCCTCCCACACGCGCCGCGCAGCGCCGCCCATCAGGTTGCGACCTAACGCCCACACGTACATTTATAACTCAACTTAACGCAACTTTAATCACTCCTCTCCATTCTAAAGTAGAACGTACGAATGTAGAAAGAGAACGCCATTCGCGGTAATCAGTTATTCCTGCCTCACTTATAGTAGTAATAATGATACCCTGATAATACCCTTTGTGGTTAAAAAAACAGTTTTTTATATTTTTGTACATATTAGTTTATGTAAAGGTCCTAAAATCACTTTAAGTGGCCTCGGACGGTGTCGTTTCAGAGGAGCTTCCTCCTGCGTACCCTTAGATTTTGGAATGAACTACCGGCCCAGGCTTTCTCGACAGCTTACAGCATGGACTTTCTCAAGAAGTCTTGAAGGTCAGTAACGCGTATGTGACGCCCTGGTGTTTCAGGCATTTATTGACTACGGTAACGTTTACCATCAGTGGAGTCGTATGCTCGTTTGCAACCATAGTAATAAAAACATTCTATAATAAGGATAATAAAGAGAAATCATCCCACTCCGCCGCTAAACATAACTTAAAATACTTCCAACACATATCAGCCATACATGAATGTTCATACTCAGCTTAGTATTGAACATTGCGCATGTAGACTGAGCTACGCACATGTGCATATGTTTGTTCAAATTTTAAACATATGAACGGATATTTCAGACTTATCAAATATCCGTGCACACATACTAAGTTTATAGGTACTTCTAAATTTAATGGTATGACAGCCTTGACAGTATCCTCAAGTTAGACAAGAAGCAGACGGGCCTTCAACGGGGGTGTAGCAATAAATTTGTTTGTACAACACGCGCTGAACTAACGTCCTATCATAATCATTAGTAATAATACGACTCATATAAGAAGCTACTTAAACAAGAATTGACTGTACACTATACTCAGATATTCAGATACCTTGATGAGTGGTCAGCTTATCGTCCCTGGACTCGAGGTCTCCGCTGGGATTCACGTGCCATGTTGTGCGCATATGAGAGTCTAGCGCTATTTTCATGTTCGCGCTCAACTGTACTAAGCAATATGTTAGACATCCAATGAACTCTAGTTCGTGATTTCCTGCACCGAAAATTAGTAACCTAAAAAAAATATAAATATTAATGTGTCATCACCACCTTTTAAAAAGTTTGGTAAAAAGTAGCTATCAAAACTATTTTAATTATTTCTATTTTTAAATAAAAATATATTATTATACATGATCTAGCAATTTTTAAATTATACATAACAACATATAGTCAAATATTGACTAACCTATTGGTGGTTAGCTTATGTAACGCCTCGAGTACTGACATTTGATCAGCTATAGAATCTGTAGACCGAGATAGTAAGAACAATATGGTTCTATTAAGACAATGGTGCAGTCCTTCTAGAGATATCACTGACGATTTCTTTTTCGCCTGAGTAACTAATTTCACAATAAAATCGAAAACCTGGAACATTTTTATCAGTTTAGACACTTAGAAAATTAAAACAAAGAATTTACTATAGTACATAATATTTTTTTATATATCCACCTCATATAGTACATACCTCGTGAGGATCTCTGGATAGTTGCCCTTGCCAAAGTTTATCAACTAACCTCGCAGCTAAATAGCATACATTTGATATATTAGATTCGGAACCAAACAATTCTGTATTTAATAAGTTTTCCATTAAAGTGGTGAGTACTTCAGTCTGATATTCAATCTGTTGTTGACTAGTCGAATTCGCTGGCGATGCGTCGAGAACAAGATCGATGACCTTTAACAGATCAGTAACAAGTGCCTTAATTATTGAATAACTGTAATGAATTCCAAGTCTATCTACATGAATAAACATAACTCTAAAATTACTGATGGTTGACTACTGTAAGGCCATACATTCATCAGGATTGTGTGGCCAATGCACATAGGTGTTGTATATAAATACTAGCAGTCTAGAGTGACTCAATCTGCTTTTAATGATATAAAATATAGCCAACGTTCATCTTCGTAATATGACGGCCTTCATGTCAAATTTAATTAACATCCAGTCAGTCATTAAGCCGTAAAAGGTAATAAAACAGATAGACAAAACTTTTGCTTTTTAAAACTAGATGGCGCTATGTAATGTACTAATATAAAAGACGAATCTTGGATGACGATTACAGTGCAAAAATGATAGGTGATATATGTATAGGTATATATGTTAGACGATTTATACACCAATATTAATGTATATTGTGTTATGGATGATTTAAAGCTGTAACACAAAATGTCTGGTATTTTAAAGCATAACAAAAGAAATAAAAATGAATGAAAAAAATAGATGTGAAGAAAGCAATTAATTAAGCCAGTGATTAATAACTAATCCTATTAAGCCACTGATACTTACTCCACAGCGTTTAAATTTTTTTTATTTTTTATTTATTAAAATACATAATTTAATTAAAACATAAATCCATCAACTCTCCATTAGTTATTAATCAGTAGTTTAATTACATAGTGCAGTGTACGTGCGCAAATAAAACGAAAAAATTCCCAATATTTACGCTATAAAAGAATGATCTTGGCGTGGAGCAGGGGCTACATGGCGTACAAAACATTGATGGTGGCACTGAGTCAGTGGCTGGTGCTGCGCTCTAGAACCAACGGTCGAGCCGACTTTCAGTATTAGTATTTTTGTATAGTTACTTGTTTAATAAAAACCTACTGTATTGTATTAAAAACACTCGTGTTGTACAACAAATAAGTGAGACAAACTTAAAAAAGTGTATCGGTAGTTTTAATCAATACTGTACCTTTTCTTAAATAATAATTTGTTCATATTAAAAAACTATCCTATTATTCAATGATCGCCATATTCAAGATATACTACTGGAACAACTGGCCATAATAAATCTCAAAAATTAGGCTTACTTTTTTTGTTATTTAATATTTTCGCCAATTCTAAACAGTAATATTGTAAATAAAGTAGATTTTTAGTCTTAAATATAGTAATGTACTCACGGGTGAAACTTTTCCGGACACACTAATTGATAAAGAATCTAGGACAATGACTTTCAGGAAATCCATGACGCCTTGCCTGACCGGGTGTTGCGTTAACCCGGCGGAATTGCCCATTATGATTATTTCTTTCTCAGATCCGGGCGTTGATGCACCAGAACTTTCGCCGCTCTCGCAAATGGCTACAATAATATTACATTATTGGTTACATAAATGAGATATTTCAGTTGAATTATTGTAATTATACATTAAATTAGTATTACTTGTTTATTAGAGGGATAAAAATGTCTTCCACGGAAATCTCTAACCCATTTATGAATAATTAACAGTCACCCATCGCTCACTTTCACTTTATCACATATATTATTAATTCAGATATCGTACAGTTTCTTGCTGTGGTTCCTGTTTGTAAGGTGAAATATAATGGTGACGCTAGCGAATATGAAACATTACATCTTACTCCTCTTGTAAGTCTTACTAACATGTAAGAAATACCAAAGATGGCACCATATAATGTAAGGTATTGCATTATAAGTAACTCTTGAAAAAATTGGTATTTTTATAATAAAATATGAAGCAAAACCTTCACAATATATATATTAAGCAAAACCTTTAAAAGTTCACGTATTATTCTACTTACGCATCTGGATATCATCAGGGGTGTTTGGTGGGAACAATGTGGAGGCTAATGCAGTGAGAACTTCGGAAGTCATCATGATGGTGACAAAGTCAGGCAATGTGTTGTACAGTGAGAATAACACCTGCAAATCCATCAAATCAATGTGTATATAATTTTCAAAATAATTTAAATTTTCGCAGGGTACAAACATTTGTATTCATGAGTATAATTGTTTGTATTGGTTACATAGGTATTATATATATCTATAATAACCCTGAACAATTAACACAGCGCCATAGTTCCACAGTAAGCAAGGCTTGTGTTGTGGGTACTAGACAGTTAATATTTAGATTTTGTTTTGTAAATACTTGCATAATATAAAGAGAGAAAGAAATCAAAGAGGGGTGCTAAATCGTTAGACTACCGAGGCCATAAAAATATGGATTATTTTCATCTATCGTCATATATTAGTTAAAGTATCGACAATTATATACTATTATATGTGCACATATTCATGCACCATAACGTCCCCGTGACTGATGTCTAACTTGAACGTTGGACTAGAGTCAAAACACGTCTCGCACCTGTACTATGGCGACGGGGTGGTCAGCGAGCCAGTCGGGCTGCGGGTCGTGCACGAGGGCGCGCGCGGCGGCCAGCAGCACGGCCACGGCCTCGGGGCAGAGAGAGATGCGCGCCGCCAGCGCCGCCGACGACTGCCGCGCCGGAGCCGCGGCGCCCCACGCGGCCGCCCACACGCGCTCCACCGACACACCGCGCTCGCCGCACGCCGCGCGCATCGGCTGCCCCAGCGCCAGCCCGAACGACAGGTAGTACAACTCCGGGATGCGCACGTGCGCCGACACCAGCCTGCGGCGATACCAACGTTCTATATGCAACACCGGTTGTATAAATATAAAATGTTATAATGAAAAATCTTAATCGTGTTTTATCAAAATTATATGTGATTTTACAGATAAAATCGATTACTTTTTTCTTTATACTGACACATAAGAATAATAAAATAGGTTGCATGCAAATATTAATAAAACACGTGTTTCCCAACGCGGGGCCGACGCCCCACAAAGGGTGATTTGATTTTTAAGGGAGGTAATTCGAATATGTACTCGACACGTTTAATCGTTTCCGTTCCGTTCCGGGATATTTAAATGCAATACTAGCTTTCGGTCTCAAAATTTAATGAAAAAAGAAAACAAATTCTCAAGTAACTGTTTTATCACCAAATTAATATAAAAAAATCTTTATTAAATTATTTAGATTTTTATTTCAGTTCATTATGTTTTGAAAATTCACTTACAGTGTTACATTAATAATTTCCTAGCGATTTCTTCATAAAACGTGTAATTTAATATCTTTAGTGACAAAAAAAAATAATTAAATATGTACATTATATTGGCGAAAGGGGAAGGAGCATAAGAGTTTAGAAAGGTTAATGTGGGGCATGCCACAAAAAAGGTTAGGAAACACTGCTCCACACGCTCTTTCACGCGCAAATAAGCTTTCATGCAGAAAAAAATATGTATGTAAATGTAGATAAAGAGAACGAGAAAGAACGTATTGAATTACGAATATAAAAAAAATTAATTTCTCACCAGGAAAGTAGTACAAATCCGGAAGTGTGAAGCAGCGACGTGTGTAAGTGCGAATTGGAGTGCGGCGTGGCGGTGACCATCACGCCAGCCTGCTGCGGTGAAGACGACACTTCCGTATGCCGTAACCAGCCCCCGTTGCCGACACCCTCGCGAAATCTGATGGTACGTGTATTTTTATTTTTAGCAGTTTGTTCCTAATACTATATTTAAAAAATCATTTTATAATTACCTTAAGATCAATTATGATCATGTCTATTGTTAACATTATAAACATAAACATCTGTTTACATAATAAACTATTATTTGTCGTGCACTTTCACTATTTACAATATATACGTAAGGGTATATATTGTAAATAGATTCTCTGATTCTTGTTATTTAAATAATTATGATAAATTAAATTGTATATACCTCTGCATTATAGCTGATGGTTGACCTTGTCCCGAACACAAAATAACGAGTATTCTTAAAGCCCATAAAACTGTACTCGGATGAACATTTTCCTGCATAAAAATAAGCAGCCAGTCCATCCCCAGCACTCGTGATATTTCTTCACACACTATCGTATTCACCAGGTTACGCGCCGTAAACAACAGGCCGTGTAATACATTAAAACATTTATTGCGCAAAATTATCTGTTCACCCTCGCTCTCTTTCTCACAGTCACTCTCTTTTAGGACTGTATCCTTTTCGGTTTGCGTTGGAAGAGGTAATGTATACGCCATAAATTGGCCAAGGCACAATAAATCATTGGGTCGAGGTTGTCCTCCCAACAATGCTGCTAGCAACTGAATGAGCACATTTTTTGTGCTGACGATTTTAACATCGTTTATAATATAAAGTAGTTTAGACACTAGCTGCAAATCCCTCATTGTGCGTAAGTTGTGCGTTCGATGCGCTGTTTCTGTTGCTAGTTCTAATAAATGTTCTAGTAGAGATTTTATCAACCCGCCTGGGGCACCCAGCCATACATCCAATTCACATATTAAATCCTGTAAGGAAAAACCCTCGTAAAACTATAATGACTAAAATACGAATCAAGACTATTATGTAACTAATATTTATATTGTTTACCTGGAATGCAGTTAAATTAGGTATAGAGGAGGTTTCCTTTTGACTGTCAACAGTACCGACTAATCCGAATATGAGATGTAGTATGTGGGAATTGAGCAATTGCTTCTTCCTTCTCAGAAGCATGGCGAGAGTTTGATAACCTTTCCGGCGGTCCATCTCCGCCTGCGCGGATTTATTTGACCGTACGACGCACACTAGAGCTTTCACTCCCGCATACAAACACTCGACATCCTGAGCCATCGCTATTAAACCTAATAATACCGAGCAGCCACCGACTGTGTCAATCTAAAAAGAAAAGTAGATATATCGTTCAGATGTCATTATTTATTACGGAAAATAATTTAGTTAGGTAAATAAATGCTTGACCCAATAACGATAGAACACTCAGTTGGATTTTAAAATAAAATTGAATAATATTCACAAAATGTTATTTTAAAATTAATCTTATAATAATTCAGAAAGTTTTCGCTTTGTATAATCCTATGAAACTTTATTGTATAACTTACCATAATAGCAGCAGGCTTGGAACAGAACACTCTAACACCTAAATAACCCACTACAGTCCCTCCCAAACATCTGGCTGGGCCCATCAAATGACCTGCGGAATTGTGCAAAATTCTTATAGGCGTTGCGTTTTCGTGTGAAGACATGCCGAGTTGCTTCGCTATGGCTTTATTATCATTTTTACTGTACACTTTTCGGATCTTGGCAAGAGTTAATTGTGACATAGCACGTGCATTGATTCCGAATACAACTTTTTCTTCAGCGACAAGTGGAGGCAAGGGTTCTTGATTGGGACCTGGGGGCAATGGGGCTTGTAAAGTGCCCACATAATGTGGGCCTAGCTGGTATATTATTGATACCGTTTGCGCTGGTAACACCTGAAAAAAAAAATTTGCACTAAAATGTAAATTATACAACACTACATGCTATAAATCCATCATCATACAATATTTCATAATTTATCTTGAGTGTTAAAGAAATAACACGAATCACATTGTATTTATTTAATTTTCTGAAAATAGCTATAATCTAAATATAATTATCAACGTAAACTGTTCAGTAAAATTATAATAAAAATTGTAACGGTTAATATTACATTGTTTTCTTAAATGGGAAATTGAACTTTAATGCAAATAACAGAAAGTTTAAATGTCAGTGGCAGAAACAAACTAAGTACGGAAGTGGGTTTAGACTAACGTCCTCCAACAGTAGGGCGGGCCCCTGCCGCCAGACGAGGCGCGAGTAGCGGCGCCACTGTGGCGGCGTGCCCAGCACGCAGTACACGCTGGACGCGCCCGACAGCGTGGCCGCGCCGCCGCCAGGGTTCGCGCTCACGTAGTGCAGCTTGCCGGAGTGCATGTGCTGACCTGCACCGCAAACATATCTCTTTGCTAACGCTACTAATTGACAAAACTATAAAATTCAGTTTGTTATCACGTCCGGTTGTTCGAGAGTATTGAGGCACAACATGAACAGTCACTCGGACAATAAACATTATCAGCAGTCCATGAACGAAACGGATGAATTGTGCGCATTATGTCTAATGTATATTGATATTACTCGTATCTCTTACCAGCGACTTCATCCGCACAATTACACATATCATTAAGATCCATTCATCAATTTAGTCGCAGAAAGGACGGAAACATGTACACAGACACAAAATATATATATTGGCATTTTGTCAACTCGGAAACATTACGAATTCTTATAGTTGAATTGTTTATGCAGCATTAGCGTTTATGTACTGACCGTCAAGGTAGAGTGAGAAGGAGGAATTCTTGAGTACAGCACGGTTGAGGACGAGCGCTAGATGGTGCCACTGGCCCTCGTGCTGCAGATCGGGGCACCAAACGCGGGCACCGCACTCGCCAGACCCCTCCGGCTCCCACTCGCCCACGTCTGCCAAAAACATACCGTTAGAAAAGGATACATATTATCTGACATATTTATTACCACATAGCCAATCATTGTCTGTAAAGCAGCCTGGTCGTGATTTCTAATTTTATCCGTAAAAATATACGCAAAAATAGATGGCACTATTGATGCCAATTGTCACTCTAAGTATTGATCATATATACACCAATAAAGAAATGAAGTATATTATTTCTAAAAATATATTAAATGAATTATAAGTTCTGTGAAATTTGTACGACAAATATGCTTTGTTTTACTATTGAAAGAGGGCACACAGAAATATAATTCCAAAAAAGAAAAGCCATATTGCGTAGTTTCCTTTCGGAATTTCAATCATTAACAATAATTTAAACAATAATTCATCAATATAATCCTACTAATCCTAAGTAGGATTATATGGGGACAGTGTTGAAATGTGTCAATTAGCATATAAGTTATATTAAACATGATTAAAATAAGTAGAATCAAATGAACTTCCTCTAATAATCTCAAGATTTCACTGATACCTATAGCACAGGTAATATCTAGTATAGGTTATCGTGGTTCTCATATTGCATTACGTAACTTTCTACCTCCTGATTACTTTTAACTAACTTCAACTGTTATATATTGCTCCTTTTTTAATGTTGTAATATTATGGTATATACAAATAAAGCAGTTTATACATTTATACTTTGGTGAATATTTTAGCACATAACATTAATGAACTGAGAATAATAGGCTGCATTATACTCACTATGTGGCACGAGGGTTTCTTGCGTGGAGACAATGATGGCCTTGTCCCGCGCGGAGAGTACGAGCGCGAGACAAACGAGGTGTTCGTCGCGGCTGTTGTTGATGTTTCTTACGAGAGTCAGCAGCCGCACGCAGTGCGGGTCAGTGCGCGGTTCCGAGTACTTCTCCACACATATCCATGTGGAGTACGTCAGCCCTGTTTGTGGCGGAAACACTCGGTCTCCTAGTCATACAAAAATATTCTGTCAAACCACCCTAATAAAAGTATAAATACAAGATATTTAATTTTTTATTATGTTTTTTAACTGTACAGTGTCAGTATTTTACACATTTTCTTTTCAAATGACACTCAAGCATCATTACGTAGTTATACATATATATATTATTATTACAAATCAAGTTATTTAACAGCCTTAAAACTATCATTTATATCTTCGTAACCTTCAAGCATTAACATAAGAGTCTAAACTGAATGTGATATAGCAGACCATACACAGCACAAAAATATTTCTAAATTCTTTAGCTTTAATTGCAACATAACCTAACTTTTCACTTTTGACGTATTAATGATATAATTATACGAATTCATGCCAATAACATGATGATATATGGGCAAATAAATGGGTTCATTTGTATTTATTTTAATTACCTGATCCAATTCCTCCTAGAGTAGCATTATCTTGTGTACCGAGGGCATTCAAATTAGCGGACTGTGGCGCGATGCTAGGTAAGTACAGACATCCGAAGCCCTCTGCTGACATATCAAACTCCACAAATGGTGGAAGTGTGCACGAGTTTTGAGATCTGTTTTTCAAATAATAGACCTTAATTTAGGATTTTATTAAACCAATACAACAATGCAAATCTTTCAAATAAATATAATAGTCGAGGAATATATATTGTATTACACTAACCTGTAATCACGAGGTGTAGTCATTGACACTAAAGTTTTAATCCTAGTGAGAGGCACTGGTCCTCCGGGTTTCCAAACTTGACCAGATTCAGGTGCCACACAATTCAATGGATTTCCCATTCGTAGAAATTCTCTGAAAAATAAAAAACAAATTATTGAAATACGCGTCATCTATACATAAATGCAAGACTTGTGATTTCCATGGCATTATACTCAGCAGAACACTACCTTGTCTGCGAGATGGTGCAGCCAATGGCTGGCTTTTACAAGACACATTTTTCTCGCGCGATCATGAAGAACGCACGAAAGAAATTGCGAGGTTGCGGCGCGCGCGTTTTCTTTGTCTACATTTACCGCAGCGCGTAGGCCGCGAGCCGCTCCAGCATGTACATGGCGGGCGCGTGCGGCGGGTGGCAGGCAGTACGGCGGTCTGTGTGCAGGTACCTGAGCTCGGCGGGCCGCAGCGCGTGGGCCGCGAGCCGCTCCAGCATGTACATGGCGGGCGCGTGCGGCGGGTGGCAGGCAGTACGGCGGTCTGTGTGCAGGTACCTGAGCTCGGCGGGCCGCAGCGCGTGGGCCGCGAGCCGCTCCAGCATGTACATGGCGCGTGCGCGTGCACGGCGGTCTGTGGATGTCGGCGGGCCGCAGCGCTCGCGCTCCGCACATGGCGGGCGCGTGCGGCGGGTGGCAGGCAGTACGGCGGTCTGTGTGCAGGTACCTGAGCTCGGCGGGCCGCAGCGCGTGGGCCGCGAGCCGCTCCAGCATGTACATGGCGGGCGCGTGCAGCGGATGTCGCTCGCCGCGCAGCGCCGCCCCACACACGCGCAGCACCACGCCCGCCAGCCCCGCGCCGCACATCACTTGCTGATTACGTTCGCTGCACGCAAACATACAAAAAATACTCCTATATGCACACGAAGATTCCATTACGGGGACGTTATGTTACATGAATAGTCTATAATTGTCGATACTTCAATTGAAAATGATCCATATTTTTGAAGGTCTCAGTGGTCTCGTGGTTTAGCTTACTTCCAATGGTTGCGGGTACCATTCCTCTCACGGTACACACATTTGTATACATGAGTATGATTGTTTGTTTTGCTTTGAGTGTTTTCCATGTATTTACAAAATATATATATGTCTATGTATTTGTATCAGTTGACTAATACCCATAACATAAGCACTAGCTAGATTAATTTAGGTCTAAATAACGTTGCGTGAAACATGATATTAAATACCTTATCTCATATGATTTTCATTAAATATAAAACTATTTGTATATGTACAGACTATATACTATAAATTTTATCAGTTGTTATTTATATATGAAACTCAATATAGGTGTGTCTATGAGAGATAACAATGACATGATGACAGGTATATAAAATAAATACTTATATTTACCTCCTTACAAGACTCTTCAGTACATGAGCAAGGTAATCCCGTATCGCCCATGCGTATGCCTGGTGTTCTGGGGGACGTGGTAGAGCGGGTAACAACTTAGCAAGTACTATGACCACACCAGAATGTACCACCCACGCCTCTCCCGACGTGCCTCCACTTGACGACAGGTTTAAAGGTGCAGTACGACCAGCAGGTTTGGACTAAAATTAAACGTTATTCTAACATAATATGATCCATTATATTATTCATAATGTGTCGGTACCTTAATACTGGTAGCGCACATACATTTTTGAGCAATTTGATTGTTGATACTAATATTAAATATTACGATGTTAAAACATAGATTACCTCATTAATGGCAGAACTTTGTCTCGTTAAACTGGGCGACTTAACATTTAAAGATCCACAAAATGTAGGCTTGTCAAATGAATCTAACGCAACATCATACAATAGTCGCAAGACTATGCAAGCATGAACAAATACCACCGGAACTTTCTCAGGGAATCTAGAAAAAAAGAACAGATATAGACTCAATTCAAAATGGTTATTAGTTCACAAAATTCTTTCGAGTTTTAATGGTTGTATGGTAACATTCTGAATGTATTTATTTTTTATTATTTGATAATGTAGGATTCTAATTCTGGTTTCCGAGCCTATTCAATAATGCAAACAAAGAAACAAATCTATCGTCTTAGATTATTAGTATGGATAATCTATATGTTTCAAAGCAATTACCGAGCGGAGTGTGTCAATGCGATCCGTAACTAAATATATTAAAGTTTAATCTTACGTCATTTCCAGAATATTCCCAGTAAATATCTCATGAAATACTTCATAAAGTTCAATGTCGCCAACTTCAACGTCGTTCTGTAATTCTGTATCTTCTGTAAAGCAACCCAGCAGCCGAATTGTATCACATAATGTTGTCATACATATCTACAAAATATGTTTAATTATATGCATGGTTCGAGAAATCACTAGAAACTAACTGTATTGAGCTATTATTGCGAAATACAGTAACAGCTCTATCGCAACGTTTCTGACCTGCATAATAGAAGGGAAAGATTTCTACAGCTGTAAAAATAATGTAATAAATTAAAAGTAAGAATCATGGCTTATAATTTATTTACTGGTAGATGATATGTATGGATGCAGCTTTATGTATTATATCATACATATTGCAGATATACACATTTATTCACAGCAGAACCTTGACAGAGTACGATTTTACATAGATAACACATTAATAATATAACTAGTAGTTACAATGTGGAACAATGCATCAATTATATACGATATTTAAATAAACAAACCTCATGATGAAAAAATTTCGCATTGGCTGGCTCGAACCTCATTGCAGTACTGATTGTGTAGAACACAATATGTATGAGTTGTAGCATATCATGGTCCATTATTTCATTTCCTTTCAGTTTCCCTTCCAGGGAGACTAGTACACTTGTTACATATACGAAGCCACTGACCTAATAATATCAAAATAATTAATTAAATTATTAGGCTACAAGATAAAACTTCTAGTTACAAACTTTTCGTTTCTTTTACTATTATTACAATACTCTTTTATTATTAAATAATTACTTTTGAAAACTGACTAAATAACCAATCATAAAAGGTAAATTTTAGTATTTATTAATTTACAATTAATCTATATAATATATATCAAACACAATTAAATAGAAATAGAGTTGTGGGACATTCAGAAAACTACATAATATACCCTCAATCTTGGGAAAAAGGCTTTATTATTATTATTATATTATAATAAATAACCTTTCGAAATATGGTTCTAGTGCGATGCGAGTCCCTGAGGCAGGCCAACAGCGCCCTAAGTACATGCAGCTTGAGAAGTAGGGCATCGTTGGGTGCCGCATGCATGCCACACAGCAGTGCTGCCATATCCTCCTCGCCTGATCCACTCACTATCAGCTCTCGAATCACACCTTAATCACATCTCAATCAGTTAAGACATATTAGATTTATTAATTTTACATCAGTTATAATAATAGGAGCAATATGGATTTTTATACAATATCATTTATGATATTGTTATAATCTATGTTTTCAGCCAATATATATGACAGAACTTAAGTTCTAAATGTATTTAACTATATAACTTTACTCCATGATTTTAAAGAAAGATCCAAAAACAAAGTGATTATTAAATGCCACTAATTCACAAATTTAGACTAGATTATTTTTTAAATCTCTTTCACTTAAAGCAATGGTATTGTAGTTTTAGCCTGTAAATGTAATGACATAGAAATTAAAAATAAGTATACTTGAACACAATAGTGACAAACTTGTATTTGACATACCTAATGCCATGTTTCTACATGATTCATGCACAAGCATCCCATGAACGCATTTAGCACCTCCACAGTCCCGAAACACATTGCAATTATTAGAATTGCTGTTTAATAGTGCTGTTAAACATTCCATCACCAATGAACCTAATTCCTCTTCTTCTGTCTCAATGTTTGGATCCTTTATGAGAGAATCTTGTTTAGATGATAATCTCTTCTTTCTTTCAGGTGCTTTAGGTAACTCATTTGTTTCCATTTCACTAGTTTCTTTTTTGGTTTTTTCCTCCTCTAATAATTGTTTATCCTTTAGAAATACTGCATAACGAGAGAGGCAAGTCACAAATACCTCAAGCATGCCAACTTCTCTATAGACTTCTTTGAATATAGCATTGTGTCTGTGAAATTGTAATGTAAATTATAGATAATTGTTAACACTAGACATATTTCAACTAATCTGAACTAATACTCACTTTAAAATATTTAATAGTGTCTTCATACATAATATGCTACAGTTCCTTGACCTATTAGCTTTTAACAAAAGGGATAGAGATATTAACTCTTTACATGGCACAAAATTTAGCTGAAAAACAATGAACTCTAAAAGCTCAAAGAATTTTTCTTGAATTTCTGCATTCTTGGTGTGTATGCCTTCTGAAAATTGACTAAGTGTGTTCTGGTTCTCAAGTATGAAATAATTCGCATTGTCGGCGTGGTAAACACTTGATATGGCATCTAATATCGTACAACACAGAGCCGGCGAATTGGACTTTATAAATACAGACTGTAAAACCTGTAACAAAATTTATGTAACATTGGATACACGTAATAATTCGCCACAGACAAGAATTGTAAATTATACTATGTAAAAATCTGAATAAATAAATAACCCAGAATTACAAATTAGTCAATTTAAATAGGATGTTATCTCTATATATGAGAATATTTATCCCCAATGAGTAAATAGGAAATAAATATTCGATTATTATTTTATCATTAGAGTATGACAAATCTAATTACAAACAAATCCACAATAATATCAGTGGGTTAATTTATTTAGTTAGTCATAATTTTATTATATCACTGTAATAATTTATATACGTATATATTTTTTCCATATGCTGTTTTAGTGGATTTCATTTTAATAAAATAAATAAATAGCAATAAAAGTTAACCTGAAAAGCCTGTACATTCCTAACCGCCTGTCCCGGCGTGGAGGGCTGCGGGAGCACGAATCCCTGCAGTTGAAATAATTCTGTAGGGACCCGTGTGGGGCGCAGCTCAGAGAATCCACATGCGCACAGCGACGATACCATTAGTACCAGATTACGGAGCGCCGCGCGAGCTTCCGTGCCGCTTACTCGCTCCTCCTCCAGCCTAAAAGATCATCATTATTTAACTAACATCCACAGCAAATGAATGTTTGTATTCACCAACCCACTTAACAGTTTGGCGATAAATAAGTTTTATACAATTATCGCCAAACATACATTTGATAAATAAAGAGTAGAAACAAGTCCTTGTATTAGGACTTCCACAAAAGTGGAACTTTATATACACATATAACGATTACGTGCAGTGAGGATATATCCGGATATAGAATAAATATAATAATATATTTGTATTAATTTTAATTTAACAAACTTTAATTTGCGCTTAGAATGGTTAATAGTTTATGTAGGTTCATAAATAGAAAAATATGGATATAGCTAGTTGACTACATTCTGCTACTTACTACAATATATCAAACCTCACAGAAATTGGGTCCAGTTTAAACATGATATAGTAACAGACACATAGAAGGCATTTCATTCGAATTTATTCCGCCTTTTAAATGTGATTGGATAACAAACATCTCTAACAGATATTGCACATTTCCAATATCTAATAAGATATTATACGATTTGTTCACAATATACCTACATTATAATAAAAAATAAAAAAAGTAGCATGCATAACATCAGTATGCACTGCGGCTTGTTACTTTTATATTATTTTATCTACTAGGAATAGTTTAAAATGTTTATTGTACAGTTTAAAAGACAATTACAATCCTATACATATAAATTATTAAGAAATATATCCTGATCAAGTTATCATGAATTAATAAAAAATACTGTTAAATGCTGAATGTTATCTTAGTACAAAAACAGTGCTTACCCTGATGTCAAATAATCAGGTACATCTGGAGTTTCATGTCTGTGATAAATAAACAAAACACAAAATAAAAAAATTAAGAAAATAAAATATTAAAAAGAAAACAAAGAAAGATTATATACAGATGCAGATGCACAATAACTTCAGATTTATTCTAAAATTCACTTACTTCAGAAGGAACTCGGAAAGGAATAAATATCCTTGACAGGAACGAAAATCATCAAGTAGTAATTGACTGACATCACTTGAATCTTTCAAGAAGCAAAAAACTGCCACAAACATTTCTACTACCTGTAATAAGAAAATAAATAAATAGATAATTCATGTACAAGATCTCACAGTGCAACATTGTACCAAACTATGCAATAAGGATAGTACTTAAATACATACAGTACATAGGAAACATTCAAACTGAAACAATCAGAGGTAGGTACTAATGAAAAAATGATTGTACTCTTTGGGGATCAATTCTGCAACTTTGAAAGATGAGAGTAGACAGTCTTTTAGATCACTATACCATGGTAGTATTTTTTTTAATTGAATAAAAATTATTATATAATAAAATAATTACCTCTAAGGGAGTCAACTCTGGTATTTTTTGCATATTTTCTATACAGAGTCCTACACACCCTTTATCTGAAAATATTAAAGTTTTATTATTGAAATAAGAATAAAAGAAGGTTATTTGTGTCTATTATGTTCATAGTAGTTAGTTAGTATTACTTATCTATTACACTTACTATGTATATATTGTACCACAGATTGTGTTAATCCATGCCTGGATAGCGTCATTAATATTTCAGCTGCAGACTTCCGCCACATAATATTGTATGGTGCACACCATGATGTTATTGCAGAAAATAACAAACTCAAATCATCTTTCCTTGCCAATTCTTCACAAGGAAATGGATGACTACATAATCTCACCAGTACCTGTTGAATTATTTTGTAATATTGAATGTAGTTCACAATTTTATAAATATACAAACTTTCAAAAAATCAAATGTAGTCTTGTTATTTAAAACATTACATAAGTATGTTTTAAGTAACAAGACTACATTTAATTTTTCGTTACACAATGGAATACATATGAAATTAAGTAATGTAAAAATAATGCCTATTGAAAGTATATTTATTTTTATAAAAACCAATTTGGTATTTTTAATCAGAGTTCCAGCTAGAATTTCCGTTCAACATGTATTTATTTTCTCTAGTCTTCTGCAGCACTACCTCCAAATAATTATACAACTAATTAACTATTTACACCATGTTTAAATGTTACCCAGATATATAACTAAAAATAAATTATTTCAAGTTATCACTATCTGGTTAAATGAATTAGTTGCTGCCTTATAGCAAGACTTATGTTTACAACTAGATTGTGAATGGCTGCAAAACTTATGGTGAGAATACAGTTACTGGGACCAGTTAGTGAGAAAATTCATACATTAAAATAAAGTGGTCTATTTACATACCTGTACAAATATTTTCTGCAATAAAATCCTTCTTTCCCTGGGTGTAAACTCACTATTTCCATCTTGAACATCTGCTTCCGATTCAGGTATTTCAGGAAGGTCAAAAAATAAATACAAACATTTGACTAAAGTTGAAGGTATTGATGCAGTAGTCATGACCTGAAAACAAACATTAATATTGAATATCTTATGTTATATAAGAATGACAATACAGTGGACCCCCAGTTATCCGATAAACATTTTGCAGGGCAGTGTCAGACCATTGAATTTGTCAGATTAGAGTGCTGCCTAAGGGTCCCCTATAGTCTGGAATTTTTTACAAAAGAGTATCTTGTAATCTGACAAATTACTGATCCAGTGATAAGATTCTATATTATATATGTATGTATGTATATGCACTCTGAAGTATAAATCATTATGTATGTCAACTACCAATCATCCCGACGGTACAGGACATGCTGGGGCTGCCATTATCGTGAGAAGTGGCATACATCACTACGAACTTCCGCAATTTAAAAAAGCCCACATACAAGCAGCCTCTATTGCGGTTGAAGATCGAAACGGAACATTCAATGTCTCTGCGATTTATTCTCCTCCTAAACATAAAATAACAAACGAGCAATATGATGACCTATTTGATACCGCGATTAGATGGCCGCGATTTATAGTTGGTGGAGACTGGAATGCAAAGCATGTTCATTGGGCATCTAGATTAACCAATACGAGAGGTAGAGAACTTAAGAAGAGCCTAGACAGGAATAATATTGTCACAATTTCTACTGCAGAGCCTACCAATTGGCCCGCTGATCCCAATAGATTACCGGATGTCATAGACTTCTTTGTCGTTAAGGGCTTATCTAGACTTTTCTACCAGATAAAGACATGCTTGGATGCTCATTCTAATCATGTCCCAGTAATATTGACAGTAGGAAATACTGTTCTTAATACAGATATAAAAGCAAAATTGTATAATAAAAGAACAGACTGGAACTCTTTTCGTGAACTTGTAAACCAAAAACTTGATCTAAAAATTGCACTTAAAACTGAATCTGACATTGATGATGCAACTAAATTTATAACTACAATAATTCAAGAAAGTTGTTGGATGTGTACTCCTGAATCTACTGAACGTCCACAACGCAAAGTATACTCTGAAAGTATACGTTTTAAAATACTTGAAAAGCGGAGACTTCGGCGTGTGTGGCATACTAGTAGACACCCTAGTGACAAAAAACTGCTCAATAAAGCAACCAAAGAACTAAAAGCCCTGATTTCTGAGGCTAATACTGCCGCAATAGAGACCTATTTAGAAGGACTGACTGCCACAAAGGCATCTAATTACTCACTATGGAAAGCAAGTAAAAACTTTAATCGACCATTATATCACAAGCCACCTCTTAGGAAACACGACGGAAAGTGGGCCAAAACAGGCCAGTGTAAAGCTGAAGCTTTTGCAGATCATCTTAGTAGAGTCTTCATGCCCAACAATGCTGCTCCGAATGTAGACGAATCTGAAATGGACTCAATTCTTGAACAGGATCTTCAGCTAGACCTTCCTCTAAAACTAGTGACACCCAAAGAGATTTATGGAAACATAAAAACCATGGAAAACAACAAGGCACCAGGGTTTGACCTCATCGACAAAAAGGTTCTTGAAGAGATGCCTTCCAGAGCCATAGTGTATCTCACAATGTTATATAATGCAATTTTAAGAGTTGGACATTATCCAGACTTGTGGAAAGTATCTCAAATCATAATGATACACAAACCTGGTAAACCGGCTCATGAGGTTGCTTCTTATAGACCAATTAGTTTACTGCCTGTCATGTCTAAGCTATTTGAAATGTCCCTTCTGCACAGACTAACAAGTGTTCTCAAAGAAAAATCTGTTATCCCTGATCATCAATTCGGATTTCGAAAAGAACATGCCACTGTTGAACAAGTTCATAGAGTATGCCGCAAAATTAGAAAATCCTATGAAAAGAAAGAATATTGTTCATCTGTGTTCATTGACGTCCAACAGGCCTTTGATAAAGTTTGGCACAGGGGATTACTATATAAAATTAAATGTTTGCTTCCACACACATTCTATTCAATATTCAAGTCCTATGTGTCCAATAGGCTATTTCAGGTGAAAGAAAATGACTGCACCTCAGGATTTTATGAAATCCGTGCAGGAGTACCACAGGGCTCTGTACTAGGACCTGTCTTATACATTTTGTACACATCCGACTTACCTCAAAGTACTGAAATTACAACAGCAACGTTTGCTGACGATACAGCCTTGCTTGCTTCGAGCGAATGTCCAATTAAAGCTTCCAACATCTTACAAAAAAACCTAAATGAAGTAGAAAAATGGCTAACTAAGTGGAAAATTGCTGCCAATGTGACTAAATCAGTCCATGTAACGTTTACCCTTAGGAAAGGCGATTGTGCACCAGTTACCCTAAATGGTACTCAACTTCCACATCAAGATACAGTTAAGTATCTAGGAATGCATTTAGATCGCAGACTTACTTGGAAAAAGCACGTCCAAATGAAAAGGGAAGAAATAAATAATAAATATAGAAGTCTCTACTGGATGCTTGGTAGAAATTCAAGACTGGCTATCGATAGCAAACTTCTCATTTACAAGGCAATGTTTAAGCCAATCTGGACATATGGGATACAACTATGGGGCTCTGCTAGTGACTCCAACATAATGACAATACAACGAGTTCAAAACTATATATTGAAACAACTTTCGGATGCACCATGGTTTATAAAAACAACTGAGATCCACAAACTACTTGATATCCCCATGGTTAAGGATGTAATTGATGACTACAGCAACAAATACAAATCACGACTACACAGGCACCCAAATAAATTCGCTGGGCAACTTACAATACCTGAAAACTTGCGCCGATTAAAGAAAAGACGTGATATATTTGACCAAGATAGTCAGACAGGACTGACTTTTTAAGAGCGAGGAGCTGTTCTACTGAGAGCGGCACTCTACCTGTTACAGACGGAACACCACATCTGCTTATAGTCCATGTGACTGATTGCAAGATCTAAAAGGGAAAAAAAAAAAAAAAAATGTATGTCAACTATTAAAAGATACAAACTTGTTCAATTACGTATTAGTCAAGATTGTCAAAAAAATATTCAATAATAAATAATAGACCATGTCGGATTACAAGGGGGGCCAGATAAGACAGGGGCCCAATTACTGCGGGTCCACTGTAGCTATTCAAATATTCATGTATTAGAAAAAAGCTTGTAAATGAAATATACTATTGTACAGTGTTTGTATGCCTCAGATTTATAACATTACTACAATAATATGTCAATATTGTTTTATGATATTTGTTATTTAATATATAATATTAAATGATAAATAATTAACCTAATATTAATTGCTACTAAACTATATATAGTATAAAATGAAACAGAAAGATACATTAGATTAGAACATCATCAATGTTTACCATTTCAAATAGTTCAATAGATATCAAAGGATAAATAAAATTAAAAAACTAATCACTTTTAAATGAGCACTTATAAACCAGTATTAATGAAAGTCTATAACACAGTGATGTATATCAATGTATATACTCATGATATAATTAGTACTACTTAGATATCTCCATTCAGAAATAATCAATTGTATCATGTTTACTCCATATGCTTAAATTACACTTGCCTGAATTAATGACTGATCACCGGCTGCCAAGAGATTTAAAGTAGAAAGCAGCATCCAACCATTACTTGATTCCTCTGAGTTTTCTATTTCTAGGAATTTAGCAATGGCACAGCTCGCTTCCTCTGTACTTTGATTACTTGCTCTTTTTCTTATCTCCGATACCATAAGCTTAGCAACTTGCTGGCAGAAAGACAATATGTCCCAAAACTTTTCATTCATCTCACTTGACGGACTAGTTCCAAATACCTGCATAAACTTTTTATTAAACCACACTGATAATTTTATGACAATACACAATACACTTATACAATACAACAATATTGTCTATTTCGCTGTATAGTCCATTACAGATATTAGTTATACATTAAATATTCATTTTTCAAGAAAATCAATATTTACATTATTAGCTTAAGTAATTTAGCAACATTACCTTGCAAAACAGTGGTAGCATATTGTACAATTTATCGTCTTTTTCAGCTTCAGTCAAAGGTTGGGGCGGATGTGTATACTCAGCAAAAAGTTTTTTGAGGTGCATGAGACCCAACTGCATGTGAGACGATGAACTGGGTGCCTCGGCAGCTTCAGAAGAAGCCGAGGCGGAGGCACCTCGTAATTTGCGCATCAAATTCATCTTGAGCACTAATAACTCAAACTAATAGAAAATCATGTAAAATCCGGGAGAATATAAGTGTTTGTATTTTTCACCATTATTTTAACGACAGGGAATTCTAATGGTTGAAAATATTCTAAACACATCAACATTTTTCAATTCATTCTAAATAAAACATGGAGTACATTGTTAATACTAATTACTTTACTGATGTTTATATTAAACGGAATTATTACAGAAATAATAGTTAATCAGATTTAGTCTATAAATATTATTTTGTTGTACAATTTTACGCCCACAGTATTCAAACAAGAGAAATAAAATAGATGACAGTGTTGTCAAATCACAATCAGATTTTCGGGCCGAACTGAAGAAAGCAAATAAAAAATATTTAATATTTCTGAATGTTAAAAAGTGTGCCGGGTTAACACATAATTATCGTTTCAGTTTCCGTAAAACAATGCAATAGCTTTAAGGATACTCAAAGTGCAATAGTTTTTGTAATTGAGTAAGTAATCACTGAGACTCGGTATGTGTTTATTTTGGAACAACTATATTTGAAGGTGAATGAAAGAATGACGGATTGACAGCTTACGCCTTACCAATCAATGTGATTTCTGTGATCTTGCTTTTTTGTTCTGTTTATCCTTTAAAGGAAAGCGATTTTGCTTGTTTAAATCTGTCAAAATACATTTAAGTCATAGTAATACATCAATATATAATAAATTGATAATTAAAAGTGAATTTTATTTTGTACAAATTATCTCCACTATGCCTGAAAATAAGCATTTACTGCAATGTTACAATCGCGGTTGTGGTCAACTTTTCGACCCTAATAAAAATGATAAAGGTTGGAATTTTCCAGATTTTTCATCTGTTTACATTTTTATTGCTCTTTGATTTTCTATCGATTGTTATCATTATATACATTAATTTACATAAAATCACGGTACTGGATAACACATAAATTTCAATACCTACATAAAACCATGCGGAATAACCTCAGTATATTACAGTAGGTGTATAACCACATATTTATCTGTTATTAATAACATGGTTCCATTTTTCATACACTTACTATTTGAAATGTAAAGCAATTAGCTGGTGATTTATTGCAATATTATCATGAGGATTTATTGTCCAACTATAAAAAAAACTGTTTTCAAATAAATATGGTATTGTGCATTCACCTTTGGTAGGCAGGCAACAATTGGAAAGTGAAAGGATGGATATGAAGTCAGGCCAGATGTTTGATGACAAATTCAACACTTGTGCCCAGGGGGAACACATTGAAGTGTTGAATTTGAATTGACATAGTAAATGACTAGCAATCTCTAATTGCTCTTATTTACTCTTCCCCAATTTAATGAGATGGCCATGTAATGCATAGGAATGTAGAGAATTAAATTAAAGAATTAAAGGGAACATATATGTGTATATGGATAGAGGTAGAGAAAGGCTGAAATGAGATGGATGGAGAGTAAAAACATATGTCAAGAAAGAGAATAATGAGATGACTGTGAATGGAAATGAATGGAAGAGACCACTCAATTATACCAATGCCAAAAGATAGGGGATAAAGTACAGCATCTATTTATGTCTCTGATAATCTAAGAACTGTTAGGCTCAGTAGTTTTTACACAATGGTGATAGATAAGTGCTTACATTTTATTTCTCAAGTAGCAAGATTGTCATCAGATCACTTAACTGAAATGAAGTATTTAAACAAGCTATTGAAGCTCCTGGATTCTTTTGCATGAACATGATTGACCAGTCCAGGTCAGTCCCAACTGAATCCTTAATTAAATCTACACTAGTTTTAATTAGTAATTGTATAATCATGTGAGCACAGATAAACTTGAATATTTTGTGGGTAATTCAAGAAGGGCTATAGAGGTGGAAACTCTTATAATTTTTAATGAGAATGTATTTATAATATCACTTATTTGTCATACAACAATTATTATATTTACCTAATTTTCAGATGAATGCAGTCACCATCCAGGAGCTCCTGTTTTCCATGACGCTTATAAAGGATGGTCATGTTGCAACAAAAAAAGTGTTGATTTCACTGAATTTTTAAATATAAAAGGCTGTACAACATCTAAGCATTCTAATGTGGTTAGTATAATTTTTTAAACATTTGAAATATTTTGCTAACATCAATTTTCAGGACTTCTTGGATAGTTTATATATTGATTTGGTAAATAAACATACATTACTGCTATTGGTACAATTGTATGTGTAAGTTGTGTTATTTTTTCCATTAAACTGTTATCCTAAGTGTGGTCTAAGTATTCTTGATGATTATGGGTCAATTTTAATTGTCCCATCATTGTTTTGACCAAATTACATATTTTCCAAAAATTTTCAAACATTCCATAGAAATATACAAAAATAGTACACAGTCCATATTATGGTATATAATTAAGTGTAAACAATAATTTCACAACTCGTCTGAAACTGAAATTCTAATTCTCCTTTATTATGTAACATTAGCTAGCAATTTAAAAATGGATATTTTCCATAATTGTATGAACCATTTTACTTAAGGTGTGTTAACGATTGCAACTGTAAAATACCTATATAAGTGAAAATGTACATTTAATTTGTTTTAAATATGAATAGGTAACTATGTTACATAATTCATTGTTTGTAAATATTACTTAATATAATCAATCTATTAATGTTATTTACTGAAGTAATATTATATAATTATTGTAAATTGTTGTTGTAGAAACCACCTGAACCAGAAAAGAAAGGTTTGGATAAAAACTTAGAGCAGAAGGAAGTCATAGAGATCAGGGCACCCATACAAACACCTCAAATACCTAGGCCACCTTTTGAAACACCTCTTGTGCAACTAAAGCCACAAATTGCCGATTCACTTAAAGCAGAAGTTCAAAAGACTGTTCAAAAAGTAACTCTTGCCAGTGATGGGTATGAATCTTATGAAATTATTATTATTGTCAATTATAATGACTATACTGAATTCACCTAGATTGAAAGATTTCAGTACATAATGTAAGTCTACATTCATCTATATCTGTTGAATAAAAAAAATGTCTATTTGTAATTTCTAATTAACAGTTTTTCCCTAAATCCATATCTAGATATACATATATGGTACATTACATAAAAAAAATAGTCATCTGTCTATCTGTTCTTCCCATTCTTTGAAACCAAGCGATTTTAAAACAAAACTTAAATTTTGAGTTCATAGATTGGAATACAAATTCCACATACATAAAAACTCAAATATTTACAGCATCTCTAATAATATTTGTGTATATAATAAATCTGTATAATACATTAGACTTATTTCTTTCAATAGTGATATACCTATTGGTACCACATGTAAGAATGGGGGATGCAATGTGTCATATGAAGGTCCACAAACAAACGAATTGGTGTGCACTTATCATCCAGGGTGTCCAATATTCCATGAGGGTCTCAAATTCTGGTCATGTTGTCAGAAAAGAACTACAGATTTCAATACTTTCCTAAGTCAACCTGGATGTACCACTGGTTTCCACAAATGGACTAAGGAGGTAGGATACTATTATTATTATTACATTTTTTTTCTATATAATCAAAGATATGCATTATCAACATACAACTTTAAAAATCTCATTCGGTACAGTTATAGATACATATATTGGCGACACAGTTGCCGCTTTAATGGGTAGGTCAGGTAGGACAGATTGTTTACCGCTCCAGTCCCGTAAAATAAAATACACAGTACTTAGCTTTTTACTTTCCGTTTAAGGGTCCAGCTGCTGGCACAGTGAAGTGTCGTTGGGACTGGCATCAAACACCTGACTATGTCATAGTAAGTGTTTATGCAAAGAAATACGATCCAACAACAAGCTACGTAAAATTGAACCCCATTCGACTCGACACGAAGCTTGTCTTTAAAGAAGAAGGTAATGCTACGTTTGAATTGGATCTTGAATTAAGAGGTGTAAGTAAATTTTATTTACTCATCATAAATAATTTTCATTACATCAGTTCTCAATATTTTTCTTTTTTATTTTAAATTCTTCTAATTGGCAATCTGTTTTTCATACAGTAGTCCAATCTGATGGCTCTTCTTCTTGAATTGATGTATTCCTTTAAGTTTATGAGGCTGGTCCAATGAGTCGGCTCTCAGGCGCTGTCTGTGAATCTTTCCGCTAGTCACATCTCTTATGTTGAGAGATTCTTAGACTCCCCCATCCATGCAGTTGTGTGGCCAGTTCATGTCTGTGTCCATCATTAGTCCATTTAGTATTACGCAACTAAACTATACCTTGTCCTGATTACAAGTTATTAGTAAGATGTTAATGTTGCCCTGCATGCTTCTATAGAAATAAGCAAAACACTATATAATCAGATTTTTAACTTTTGTTTTCTATGTATTGATTTTTGTGATTATTTTTTTTATAACTAAAGTATTTATTATTATAACGAATCGAATAAGTATTAAAAGTGATGGAACATATCAGCGTTATCTACAGTAAAAGTCACTGTCAAGTACCAATGTAAATATATAAATTGTCTGAAACTTAAAATAAATACTCTGAAAATGAAAAGGTAATCTAATCCGACTGTACCTATGTTTTATATATTTATATACGCAATATGTTTGTGCATGTACTTTACGTCATAGTCCTATTTTAATGGACAGGGTCTATTGTATTTTACCATGTACTAAAGTAATTGACCTGTCCATATGAAATACACATTAATATTCTTGTTGTAGGTGATAGATGTAGAGAATAGTACTGCTTCAATGCTGGGCACAAAAGTTGAAATTAAATTGAAAAAGGCGGAACCAGGTGCTTGGAGTAAGCTAGATTTTCCAAGAGCAGAGCCAAAGAAGGAACCCGTTCTTCCACAACCATTAGTACCTACGGAAGAAGATGATTCAGTTGACCTCTCTACAGTGGAAGCAATACAATCTATTGGTAAAGTTAATGTAACAGATTGAAATATACAAAATTTATTATTATTTATGTATAAAATGTTTTTCACTTTTTTATTAGTTGAATTTGGATTGTGAAGCACGATTATGTATTTGATGTAATATTGTATCGAGGACAGTAGAAAATAAAACTTGCTTTTATTATTATTTATATTGTTTTAATTGGTTCTTGTAGATATTTTTTCTGACGTGTAACTACTAAACAAATAATAATCTTAGATTTTAACATAAATGTTTTATTTACAATAAGTTTTTTTCAAGAGACTTTATGAACAGATGAAATATATAGATAATTTATAATAGTAGTAACAACATAGTCTTTGTGACTCGAATAATCTTTGATTAAGTATAGTTATGGCTTATACATATGACTAGTAATATTATTAGTTATCTACTTACATATTTTAACTATACAATTTTACAATTTATTTGTCAAAGACTAGAACATTAGACTAGATTAATAAATAAACTACGATCAGTATTTTATTCTACCTGTAAAATTATTGAAAATGTTGAATTATATTTTATTACATAATTTCAAGTACATATGCAACAAAAATGTAGTGCGTACTTAATGTATTTATTATTCAATCGGTAATACTTATTTGTATATACAAAATGCACGTCGAACGTATTGTTTAAAATAATAATATCTATTTGCTAGATAATACTGAACAGAACCTATCCTCAATTAAATAATAAATAATGCGCAAAAGCGCCGAATATAAATAAAATGTGCGATATTTTTGTTTGCTATTTAGCAAATACGTATGTATATACTTTTCTGGCGAGATCAGGTTATGTAAAACGAATTTTAAAATAGTTACCCTGACGAATGCCTCATGCTCAAATTAACGGCAGAGATAGATAACAGAGACTCATATAACACTAGTTTATAGGTACATATTATTAGGATCTGTTCAGCCATTTGGTCTGTCTAGGTTGTCTTTAATAAATTACTTATAACGATAAGCACGATAAGCGCCTTTTGTTATTACTTTACTATTTACTGTTTTTCTTATTTTTTTATCTGTGTACACAATAAAAAGTTTATGTATATATTATATCATGAAAAGTAACAAACAGACTTTCAAATTTATAATATCAGTATGGATAGGATACCGTTAGGTTCAGGTATTATATAAACTACAGCCACATACTCGAGTTATACGGGCGATTTAAGGGGAACTACAGTGTTCGGTGGTAGGCGGCGGCGCATGGAACCCGGTCGCGGAGACTGGCACGGGCTGCATACGGTACATGTCGTGCAACAATGTAGCCACCGATACGTCGCCAACAGTGTCTCGAAACAAGAGTAGCTCGATCGAACGGGCGCGAACGGCACGCAACGATGGCAGCAACAGCAACAAACGGCCAAATCTGGAAACGATACCTCTATCCAACTAGGGCTTTTTTTTATATACCTAATCAGAATGGCGAACTAGCTGGCGGCCCATCTGATACTAAACGGTAACCGTTGCCTAGATAGGTACATGAACATTCCAAAGGTACGGTAGGGAAAAATATGAATGCCAAATAATTTGACGTTCATAAGCGGCTAAAATTTCCTACATGAATAATGTTTTTTGAATTTTAAAAGGACTAAGACATCACGCCTCTTATCTTGTAATTTAGTGAAATTACATGATAAAAACCGTGAGATTAGGCAGTGGGTTAATATGCATCCTACAACTGAAACACAGTGCCAGTAATCCACTAGGCCACCATGCTCACAGGTGGGTAAGCCATAAAATATATATAGGACCTATATATATTTTATGGCTTAATATCACATATCAATCAATTACCTGGTGGGTTGTCTGGTGTATCTAGTCCGTACATAATCAGCCAAGATACATTGAGCTTGATCTTGTAACATTTCCACGGGTTGCGTTTCACTAAGTCCAGGTGTATCTAAAAGAAAAAAAAACATAGATTATTTACAAAATGCTTATAAATATTTATACTATGTAGTTATAAATATTTATATGTAGTTATAAATATGGGCATAAATACTGTTGCAATTAAAAATAAACAAAATCTTATTAATATTATAAATGCGAAAAGTAAATCCTCTGGTGCCCCGCCAGTGTAAACCGTTAGTGAAGGCAAATGGTGCACCCCATTTATTTATTTATTTCATTTTATTCTTTATTGCACTATTTAAAATAATGTACAATTAGCGAGCGTAATGCCATGTGGCATTCTCTACCAGCTAACCATTGGGTAGAAACAGAAAGCCATTCCATTATCACCCATAAAATATAGATACAGTTACAATTAAAAGTAAACAAAATATTACATAATTTGTATCCCTAAGGCAATCCATAAGATTGGTAGTGAGGAATTTTTCCAAGAAGGCGTCAAAGTTTAAAAGACTGTATTGCAGCCAATGGAGTTTGTTACGACTTGATTGTACATTTACTTAAGCTTTACATAGTTTTAATATTTTAAGTTACATACATTATCAATAGTCACACTGTAGTCGATGTGATATCTAAGCGATATAAAAAATAAAGATTATTCCTTGTAACAATATCTATGTAAGGCAAGACTTAGGTGGTTTTCCATTCTTTATGCTGTAACCAAGTTCACTTATATAGGTACCTATAGATAACTTTTTTGGTGGTATTTATCGGCAACTTCGTCTAGGACCTAATGACTGGTATTTATAAAATATTCAAACTGATATTAGGTACTAACTACTATTCGACATTACTTATATTAAGTTTATTTGAATAAAGATTATTTTAATCTATTATCTATATTTCTACTTTTTCCTACGAATGAGAACAGACGAATACAAAAAGTCATTCGGTAGGTAGATACTATAATATAATAATATATACGAATAAGATACAAATGTTTGTGTTATTTATACATACGGTTGAATATCACAAGATTATCATTTTTTAGTGATTAATAAACATTAATTCTAAAATTCTAAAGAGGTATAGTTATTAGGTTCCTATATTATTTTTAGTTTCTTTTGACGAATGATTCGCGAAAAGGCTCAGGAAACAAAATTTTTCAATTCGTAGCGTAGGTAGGCAGTAACCCCCTTTTGCGAGAAAAGTTAAATGTGAATAATTTCTACGTAACGTGTTATACTGTATCGTAAAAAGGCGTTAGATATAGGTAGATACGGGAACTCTCCTATAACGCGGAAGCAATCTACCGTGACCTGGAGAAGATTAGGTACTTATATGTAGAATTATTTGTAAAGTGGTTACTTACCTGGCGAAAAAAGCACAATTGCCTTCATACAGCCACATTCACTACCATCAGGTGCTATTTGACGAAACCGACATAATATTTCCTGGAAATAATAAAATATAGAGTAGGTATTTCTTACTCATATTTTTTAATAAAATAAAGATCATAGACAGACATATGACTTTTATGTCTCATGTTAAGTAGTACCTACCCCGATTATTTTATCTATGGCAGTTGGTAGGTGGGTAGTTTAATACCAGCATTCTAATTGTAATTTACAATAGATACAACTGTAGGTACGCAATAACGGGGCCAGTACACTTTATACTTAGGTATGTATTTTGTTTTAAGCATATAAATCAATAAAAGTAAATATTGGCTACCTGCAATGTATTAAGCTCTAAATCAGCAAGTGGCTCTAGAGGTAAACGCGCTCTGGCTGTGGGCGCAGCGAGCAAAGGTCCCAGGTCCCAGGGTGCAGACCACTGCGCAAGATGTAGAAGAAATAGGTCCTTCCAGGCTGCTCGTAGCAAGACTAATTGATCCCCTGGAGCTAACGCCTGGAATGGCGCTAAACATCGAACCCATCGCACAGCCATGAACAGCAAGCGGGCGCTTGTTTCCTAACAAAAAAAAATCTAGTTATTATTACTGTTACTGGAGCGGGAACACAACTACTATTTTAATAAAAACCAAAATATTAGTAAAAATGTGTATTCTTCCCAAAAGGGGTCACAGCAAGAAGTAACAAAACAATATAGATAGTCAAAAGTGACGTATAAAAAATAGATATAAAAATATAAAGTTTATAAAAAGAATGGTAGACAAGCTGCCAGCAACAATTACTTAAACGGTATTCCTCATGAGATTTTTAGTAACAGTTTGTTATGTTAAGTTCTATGTGTTAATTCAAGTTATTTTTATCTATCTACTAGGTATCTATAGGTTTAAAGGGACTAGGGACTAGGTAAATTTTTAAATATAGTAAAACTAGCTACTCGCCCTGGCGTCGCACGGGTGTCATGTATTATATATACCTACCTATAAACCTTCCTATTGAATCACTCTATCTATTAAAAAAACCGCTTCAAAATCCGTTCCGTAGTTTTAAAGATACCTATACATAGGGACACTTTCCCCATAACATAGTCCATTGTCTTTCTTTCTACAATATATAGATAATATTAGTATTAATAGAATGTAGTAGATAGGTGGCAGGATTATGACTCGAAAAAAAAGCGATAGTATCAACACTTGGTTATACATATCCGCTAAACGCCGTAAACATTATAATTTCAAAATATAATAATGCGCACAAAAACAATTGAAAACTTTATTGTTACGCCGCTACATTGGAGACAGCGAGCGCTACGATGGGCGGGGTAAAGTCAAGTAAAGGCGAGAAGTCACCGCCGACCGCCCAATCGCGACTCTGAGCCCGCCCCTAAAGTCAAAAAGCCACCTACCTAAACATGTTGTATACACCCCCATAAATCTCCAACTACAGATGCGATATTAAGATATTCAACATATCTTGAACTGGATAAGTTAGAGCAAATTAAAACAATATCTAACTACCTACGACTGATAACATTTAATACACAGGAATATCTCTTAAAGTTATAGTAGAATTGAAACAGGATTCTTCCCATGTATGGTGTCTTTATACCTACCTTCAGAGCGTTTTCTTAGGAGTTTATTACCGCACACTCAAATTGTGGAATGAATTACCCCTTTCAAGGTTTCGCTTAGAGACTACAGTAGATGGTACCTATTTATTTATGAAGGGTAGATATAAGAATTGATATTTAGAGATCAGCTTGTCACTACTAGCACTAGTCTAGTCTAGTCTTGATGTTACTTAAGCTAATTATTAATCTTCTGCAACTTTTTCGATATAAATTTTATGTAGAGTAAAAATGTTGAATGTGAAGTTTAGCAAGCCTGTCCCAATATTTTATAGATAATTCTACCATTTCTGTGGTGCAAATGTCACTACATAATATAAGTAATAACTTTACACGTGCTCAGTGAATAAATTGCTAAATCAGTAAAATTAGATAGATAGGTACCTGCAGTAATTCCCAGGTGGGTGCCAATGGGGCTCCAAAAGCACTAGGAGGGGGTCGCAGTAGTGTAGGATCACCTTGTAGTTGTAACTGCTTGGCGCTCCACATCAATTCCTTTACAATATATTGCTACGTTAAGTGTCGTTATTTTTGATACGTTAAAAAAACGAGAGCAATAAAAAAAATGACTAAAAGTTCAGCGATATTTTAGTAGAATTAAATATTTATGGTTAACATTTTAAATTGTAATAAGGGTTGTTATAACAGATTTTGAACAGGGATTTTTTACAATTATTATAATCTACCTACTTTTACTGTGAATACCTATTATAAGCCATTTTTATCGTTAGAAAATGAAGATTTTGTTACGATTGAAGTACCTAGTAGGTACCTATGTTATTTATAGAATAAAATTGACTATATATAGAATGAAATAACAAATATTTGCTATTACTACCTGACATTTATCTGTAGACATGAGAATGTGGAGCAGGCCTGGTGGAGGTGGCGCTAGGAAGGGTTCAGGCATGAGTGGTAGTGGGCTAACTGCGCCAGCCCCACCAGCACCACTGGAGCCCGCTGACGACGCAGTACTCAATGGAGCCTGCTCGCTCATACTAAACTACAGAAATATTCAATAGTTATTAAATGAATTTAGAACTAAACTGTGTACAAAATTGTTCCCGAACGCATTTCAGTAGGCACCTAGTGAAAGCTCTTACAAGTCTCATCAATCAAATTTGGTACCTACCCATGGTAAAAATGGCTTAATGGCTGAATGGTGTTATAGAAAAAAACAAAATCTTAATTTAGAATTTGCCTGCAAATAAAATATAATTTCGCAAATAACAACTCACCAATTGACGGAACGTGACAGTAATCGAGTAAAGAGAGTTTATTAAAACTTAAACAAATTTGATGTGGGGATTTGTTCATTCAGGGCGTAGGTACGTAATTTATATGTGTTGTTAAAGTCAATTGATAAATAGATCCCTCATAGTACCTAGGTAATTATATAGTTTTTGTTTAAGTTATGTCTGATAATTAAATTGGATATAATGGGGTAGTCATGTTTAGTAACAAAAACAATTAATATAAGTAGATAATAAAAAAGAATATTATTGTAGATAAGTAATACTCGATACTCTTTATATGAAAATATCTTTAAAGTATACATATATCAGATTCTTACCTGGAAATTGAAGGGTTGTGTGAGTGGAGTGTATGGCGATGGAGGAGACAGCTTGAGCGGGTGTGGCTTATGAGCGTGAGCCAGAGGCGGAGGCGGAAGTGCAGATAAACCCGCGTGTAACTTAGGCTTGCGTGGACCACGCTCGTGCTGTACAGCTGAACAATTTTTTAATTATAATATATAAATCTATTTTTTTTTTAATTTAATCACACAGTTGACCTGTAGTATAAGTCACACGAGGGTGGCGATTTACCTAGTAGGTATCTATACGATACTATGGTAATATATTAAAATCAATCATAATTTCAAAAAATATATTTATAGGTAGATTTGACATAAGAGTCCGTAATAGACCTACATCAATACAGATTTTTTATTTTTATAATAGTTAAAGTTACGTACATTACAATCTGATTTGAACAGAGTAAGAGCAGAATTTATTATCAATTCTTCTCGGCTTAATGCTTATATGATGATGGTAGATTTAACTTATCATAAGACCAGCTTCTGTTTTAGACCTGATATTTTGAAGCAATAGTTTAGTTTTATATTATATTATTTTAATTCCTATATCGATTATAAACATACAAACTTTGAATTACACCCTAGATAATTTAACCTGTATTATATTGCCAACTCTGTTAATTAGAGCCATAAAAAGAATAATTATGAAAAATTAACAAATTACTTAATGGGCTATATTTGAATGAGCTGATCGATGGGTGTGATTTAGGTACCATTATCTATAGACTATCACCTTGTTTGGCACTACAAGGTATGTACAAATTGAATTAAACAATAAAGTTTGCTACAATATTAAAAATAACCATATTCAAATCGGTTTAACCGTTTCTCACACTTGCACTAATACACCTATAAACATTTGCGTAACGTTTGTAGGTGTGACTTCTAAGAATGTTAGGAAATTCTATAGGCTATTACCGCCTGAGACACGTGTATTGACTATTGAATGTAACTTTCATGTTGTATCGTTGTTTTACACGTCGGATCATAGACTTATATAGCCGTGAACCGCTTATTCGCTTCGATCCTTCAGTAAGCCGGGATCGTGCCCTCTTTAGTCTACGTAACAATAGGCCGCGTGCATATCTGCGTTAATATTTTTTTGTTACAAGTTAAATAAACATTTAACGCAATAATATTATTAATTGTTAGCTACTTTTACGTCTGGTATTTAGTAATTGATTACAATCCAAAAGATCATCAATCATCAACGGTATAAATAAAAGACAGCATCATTTAGTGATTTTTCTTCTAATCTTTATTACTTAGAGCCGTGATACTACGATATATGATACTGGATACTACGTGATACTATGATACTGGAATTTAATCTAACCGGTATTCTAAATGTTTAAAATCTTTTTTTATACCTATATAATTAATAATTAAAAAAATATTATAAAACAATCGAAATATACCTATGTACTCTTATATATGACAACAGTCTTTGATTTTAATAATAATAATGTAAAACATATAGTTAGAATAAGAATCAGCAAATACACACATTAAATACATGCTTGACGACATAGTGGTACAAACCCTGTGTTTGTAGAACTAACTTTCACACTACCCTCGTTATTCGTAACAACAAATCGTACAGAACACTGAAATACGTTTCCGACATATAGTATGTCTGAAACGTATTTCAGCTATTGAAGTGTTTTGTAATTTTCACATAACTTATGTATATCCTTTTTTTATTTATATTTAATTAATTGCATACATTCAGTACAACTTTAAGACGTAACAGAAGGATTTTTTCGTATCTGTTATACTATATAAAAAAAATATATAAAGTCGATAGCAGTTCGTAATTGCATCAATGTGCAACTGGCCTAGGGTGTGATGACGTCACGCAATCAGCTTAACGGTGTTGAGTCCATGAGAATGTGGCTATTGTGTCCGCACATGTCGATGCGGCTCGGCGCATACGCTGCAGTTCCCGCGCGCCGCATTGGTTACGCACTACGAGGCTTAAAGTTAGTCTGTGTATGTAAAACAAACGCGAAAGCGTATTGTTTTCTTGCAACGAAATTCCATTTGTATTCGTTTTCCCACTAACGGAAATACATTATTTGTTAGAGTGTAAACTACTCTTCGCATGAGATAAAAATGTATTATTTAACAATTTATCTCTTAGTTCCAGATACAAAATTGTAGAAAATTATCAATGACTTACCTACATGGCTTTACTAAGCCAAAACAATCAAATTATTTTCTGTAAATGCGGTTCAAGGTTTTAAGAAGGAATTTTTTATAATAAATTGATTGGTGTCTGAATATCCAACACGAAAGGTGAAGATGAATGTTGACGTAAGTCGGCAAAGGGGTCCCTTAAACCTATACCCGGGTCATAAGTTCCGAGAACTGCTAGGAGTTTCCCTCTCTGCTTCTGCATCTGACTTTTATTCCAATAAACCTAAACAAAACTTGGTTTAGATTTTCTAGGAAAGATTTTCTAAGACAAATCTAGAAATCTTTCTAGGTTTGTCTTTTCATTATTTTATTAATTTTACTTACTTTCGTTGACTTTGGTAAAAGTGGCGTCACTATCTGTTTTACTCACTCATGGCAAACATATCCACTATCCATCTCTCTCATCATTTTGCAGTAAAATTAAGTCCCTACCAAGAGCTTGTGCAAATAAATAACATTTGAACTGAGTAAAATGGGTTTGCAAAACTCGGGTTACTTGAGGTTTTACTGGTTTATTTTTAGTATGAAACTAACAAGTAGGTATTATACTATTTTACAATCTTGATTAAATGTGCGAACTTTTAATGGCATTTGCCAAGGCACTTTAGTACATTTTTTTAGAGGAAGGCCTTTCAAAGTCGACAAATTATGAAAATTTTAAATTCATAGTTTTACAAATAGTCTTAATTTTAGAAAACATGGAACAATTGTGTCATTTTTTTTTACTGTGGTTCGAGAAATGTTATTTAGGATTACGGTTCCAAAGTTTAAATGAATAAAAATTAACCACTATAACCGAAAAATGGTTAATTTGACCAATTTGACCAAATATCTAGGTTTTTCTTAAATGCCCATAATTTCTCAAACTGTATGTGTTAGATATTTTTTTGTCTATTCTCATGATGGTTGTAATCTATCCTGTCGCCCCATTTTGACTTGACGTAGAGTTCTGGGACACTCTGTATGTGGAATTTTCTTAAATTATAAAAAAAAATTTAGTAGTATCGTATATGATAGTCTAGAATATTACAAAGAGATGTAATATTCTTGATTGATATGATCTTTTCGTATCGTTATGGATATAATCCTAGATATGATCGATATAAATATATTTTTGTAAGTTAATGTATATATGTTAATATATACATTAGTTGGTTGGGAAGATGGCGTGCACAGAGACGTGAACGCAATTGTTTACCTTTTGTTTATGGGGCGCGTGTAATCCCAAATAGAACACGTGCTTTTTCTCGCGTCATTCCTGATCACGTCAGATAATTGCTATATAAAAGGACCTTTATTATAAAGCATTAGGGTGTGATTTTGTATGTAAGTAATTAGTCAAGGGTCGGCCAAGGCAAGGGGCTTAGTTTGCAGTGTGATGTGGATAAGCTAGATTTTAATTAAAAGGAGGCAAATGTGATACAAAATCTACACGTGATCTGATGACCGCGGCGCTACGTCATTGCGGCTTTGTTATTCGAGAAGGTAGAGTTGACTTCTTTTATCTAAGTATAGATATGTCAACAAAACTAGATATTTTTAGATAATATGCATACGAAATTAGGAACTAATAAACCTTTTTTAGTGACAGGAATGTTTAATCCTTTTTTTTAAATATAATCATAATTTGGTACAAAATGACTTAGCATACTAATATATAGTAGAAATATGTTTAAAGGAGTATTAGTTAAGACATAGAATGAACCTAAGTTAATAAAATATAAAAGATTTTAATAATTTACGAGATTAAAAAAACCCGCATCGACTTCAATGTATCCAATATTTAAGTCGTAGTCACTCAGCCCCTTCAAAAGGCGTTCACTGAATCACTTTTCAAGCGTTTAAAAGGGAGATTTAACTTCAAACATCAGCAAGAAGCCCCTCGCACAGTTGAATTGAAAGCAAACAAAATGTGTTTTTAAATTGGTAGCTCTTGCAAAAACTATACAGTAGTAGGTGCGTATTTGTTATTTTTTTACCCGCGAGCCATCAATTAACCTGCTATTCAGCGTTGTTGATTTTATAAAATACAGTTGCCAATAAAAGGTTATTAACATCTACATATTGGAAAGTTATAGTACCTACATTCAATTTCAAATTCTCAATCAAGTACAAAATTTTGATACAATTTATATTTATGCAATTGTGGTATACAAGTTGACGATTCACATGCTGAAAGTGGTAATCGCCTACAACAACATTATCAAGTCGTACAGAATAGTTACTGAAACAAAACTAACACAACATGTACCAAAAAGTAATACGAATTGCTATATTTATTGTATACTAGCTGTGCCCGTGGTTTCACCCACGTTAAACTTCAATAAAAATTTAGCCTATATGTTATTCTGATGCATAAGCTACATTATTGCAAAGTTTCATCAAAATCCGTTCCGTAGTTTTTGCGTGAAAGAGTAACAAACATCCATACTCACAAACTTTCGAGTTTATAATCCTTACTAATATTATAAATGCGAAAGTAACTCTGTCTGTCTGTCTGTCTGTCTGTCTCGCTTTCACGCCAAAACTACTGAACCGATTTAAATGAAATTTGGTACGCAAATAGTCTATATGCCGAGGAAGGACATAGGCTACTTTTTAATGCGAAAAAAGGGTTGTAAGGGGTTGAAAATGGAAATACAAGGTTATCTTTATGCGGTTTAATACACACATAGTATAATACTGGCTTAACTAAAAAATTAGAAATTTTGGAAAGTCTACTTTATAACTGTGGTATTAAGTCTAACTTTAAAAATTTTTAATTTCTGAATTACACCAATATTGTACTAGATATGCGACATAAATAAACATATATGTCATTTGTATAAGCAGCGCGCATGCGAAGTTGCGCAAGCAACTGATTATTGTCAATCCGTTGTCTCCTTATGAATTTAAATGTATAATCGTTTGCTCTGCAATATTATTTTATAAA